TAAACTATATTACAAAAATTTTGTAGATTTAATAACAAAATTTTATAAAATTCAATATTCAACCATCATTCTTGTAATTTTCAAAAAGGACCTTTTTTAACAAACCTTTTTGTAGGCCCAGTAACAAAAGTATTTGTTGGAAATGAAAAGAATTTTGATCAGAAATGTTGTTTTATTAATCAATTTCCTAAACAAAAAAAATTAACACATACCTACATAAATGGACACATACATGCAAAAATAACACAATTAAATAACTCACCATTCTGAAATCATGAAATTATAAAGAAAATTGGTACAATATAATTATCATTACTACTACAACACTTAGGGCCGGTTTATCAATCTCTAGTTAAGTTCCAGTTAGTATATCTGACACTTTCATATCGATCGTTGTGAGAACAATGGTATCAATGGAAATTATCTAACAGATAACTAACTGCAACTTTAACTGGACATTGGTAAACCGGCCCTTAGTGATGTAATTCTTAAGTTAAACCACTTCACTGTATCCCCTAATTTCAGTTTAAAAACCAGTGATGGCATTTTTTTTCGGATACTTAAAGTATCATACTTTGCACTTCGCACACTCGTTAAATAGGTATAAGGAATCCAAATACTAATAATAACAGATTTCTGGTAATATATTATAAACATTCTGAACACGTTACGAATTAAAGTAAAGTAAGGAGAAACATAAGTTGCAGGCGCTAAAATTATGTTAAAATTTTACCAAATAAAATTAACAAACTCATGTTAACAAATCTGATTTTTATAACCGTGTAGACACGTAGATATTTTATTGAAATCAAAGGATACAACCTTAGATATACCTATATATTAAATATATTTTTCTACGACCACTATGTAAAAGTCACTTTTCATGATGGCATCGTTGCTTAGAAAATGAATCTTTTCATTGGCAAGGCAAAACACGAATGTAAAGTGACATTTCTGTGTGAAAAGTGACAGGTCTGTGTGAAAAGAAAAGGAAAGCATCGTTTGACATTCAGCTGTCAAAAAGGTTTTAGGTTATTTTGTTTTGTATTTAAAAATAATAAAAAATAAAAGGGTCGCAGAAAAAACATTGTGTTATACTTGTGAGAAAAGCTTTCTTCAAGCTCGTGTTAATGCACACTCGACCTAACGGCCTCGTGGGCAACTTAAAAACTCGCATGAAAAAGTCGTAAAACAAATAACTTTTATCTATCCCTACATTGACGAGCTGTCACTTTATGGCGTTTTATTGACGGGCTGAAGTTAACAACAGTGGCTTTTCGACATTTTACGTCACGGGCTGAAGTTAGCTTTATTATAAATTGGGAAAAAGTGAGGTTAAATTCGGGTGACAGTTGACAGATGTCAAAATTTTAACAAATAAAATTGGCTTTAAATTCTGTTTTTTGTTCGTCGTAGATAAAGTATAGTATGCAACTCGTTTATAAACTTCTCTAGACACTCGTTTTTATTAAACACTCGCTCGCAAGCTTCGCTCGTGCTTAATTAAACTCGTAACTAAAATGGCGTTTATAAAACTTTACATAATACATATATATAAATACACATACATAATATACTATTTTAAAGTTTTCAAATGTTACTTGCTTGTTAATTTTATTCGAATGTTCTCGACTAATTTCAGTTCAAAGACACGCTTCTTTATTCGACATTGTCCATGCAAATGCATGTAAAAGAGCCTTTGCAGTCTGGTGAGTGTTGCCTTTTGAATTATAAATTGTGCCCTAAATTGTTTCTTTTGTAAAGTCGACGGTACAGTGAACATAAAAGTTTCGAGATGTATCTGAGAGTGTTTCTTATTAAAAAAGTCCTAGATTCGTGCATATACGCCGTCATTTTATATCATCATCATTTTACGATTTTATGGCTGTAATCTTCCAACAGTTCCTGAGTTAAATGGGTACGCCATTTCTTTTTCTTTTCTAATATTGCTATTACTTAACCACCTACACCATACAATGTTGTACGTTAAATTAAGTTAATGTAATCGCTAACTTTAATGCTATAAAATACCTAATAAATTGAGGGGATGTTTTTATAAAAATTGGTATACATGTATAAACGCTTATCCAATTAAATTAATTTAAACTTGGTTAATATAAAAGAAAATAAATATAAAATTTTATAGTTTTTTATTAATTATAATTGTTTTAAGCATGTCAACTTAAGCTACAGCTTTTCCAATTGTATTTTAGAAAGCGTCAAATTGATATCATTTCTGCAGAAAGCGTTAAATGTATTTCAGAACATTCTATTTAGTCAAATTTATTTCAAAAATCAAAACTTTTTAAAATATTCTTCATATGTATGCTTAAGTTTTTAATGTTTTTAAAGAGACCAATTTTACACCATAATGTGTATATATTTTTATATTATATTATATTTTGTATATTATCTACATAAAACCGACTATTTTTGTTTTTTTTGAGTAGTATTGAAAAATCGAATAAAGTATCATACAGGGTGTCTGGAAATAACGTTAATATATTTTGAGGGGTGATTCTACACGTAAAAATGAAAAAAAAGAGTTGCCATAAACAGATGTTAGAAAATGCCTCCTGGGGGCGCTGTAGGCATTTTAAACTGTTTCGATCATGGAATACAATTCTCCAGAAAATTTTACGTAAAAAGGTGTTCTTGTTACAAATTCATGCAGCCAACCGTTTTCGAGAAAACGCTATTAGAAATTTCTAGCCATAAAAAAAATATCAAGCAAATTAGTAGGCAATACAAAATCATCATCAATATACATATAATATACATAATAATATTATTAATTATATAATAATTAATAATAATAATATTATTTGATAAAAAAAATAATTTGATACAAAAATAATTTTATAAAAAAATTAGTTGATAAAAAAAATAATTTGGTAAATAATGCAAATAATTAATTATTTATAAAGCAAAATAAGTTTATTTTGCACTTCGGCGCCTCATAAAAACCTGTGAAAACCAAAAAACTTCGTTACTCCTATAGGAATAAAAAAATATACTTATAAGCAAGGACCGGATTTTTAGGCAAAATGCCTTTTTATTTCTATTAGGCATTTGTTTGGGACCTTGAAATTAATTCTAAACTTAAAAAAATAAACCGTTTGACACCTCTTTGTTTTTGCCTTAAAGCCTAAAATGGCGAAATTTTGATTTATTGTCCTGAAAGGACATTTTTATGAGCCTAAAATAGGCTCAGTAAAAATATATTTTTCATTGCGAAAAAGTAAATTATTCTTAATTAGACCCTTCTTTCATGCTCTTATTTCGCCTAGACGCCCACAGAGGACCACAAATTACAAAACTAGTGAAAACCTAATAAAAAAGTAATTGTGGTTTTGCTATCTAAATATTTATTATAAATAATTATGGATAATATTGAGTTTGTAAAATAATAGTTGAAAATTATTATTTACTTTGTTTTCACAGGTTTTACTGTAATTTCCATATATGTATTACGTATGAGGTAATTTCAGACTTTTTAACAGTTTTTAGTAATATAATTTGTCGCCATATAAATACGGTCTTTCACAGCATATTTTTTATTTACTTCAAAAAATTTCCCTATAAAAGTTTTTTTTCAGCGTTTTTTATTATTAATTAAAAAGGCTTTATAAAGGATATTTTCTCGAAAAAAACCCTAAACACGTAAACTTGGCTTTGCAAAAGATTTGCTTTAAATTTTACAAGTAAGGTTTTCCTTTTCTTTATTTACGGGCAATTTTACCTATATTAAGAGATACATATGTATTTTTTGTTTTATTTTTATTGATAGGACCTAAATGTTATGTTTAATCGTGTTGTTTTTATTTCATATCGCCTATTTTAGGCGGTTGAGGCCTATTTTAGACACTTTCGGCCTAAAACGGCCTAAAATGTAGGTTTTTATTGCCTATTTATGTGTCATAATTTCCAATTTTTAAGGGCCTAAAATCCGGTCTTTGCTTATAAGTTTAACATGTAAACATACATTCATCTACATTTTTATCCAATTAGTAATGTTTTTACCATCATCTTTTTTTATCCTATTGAAAATTTACAAAGTTAAAAAATTAAAGAATACAAAGATGTATCAAAGTACTTGTATACAAGTACTATAGATAAATGTGTATGTTTACATGTAAAACTTACTTCTTTTTAAATTCACAGAAATAACGAGGTTATAACAATTTCTGGTTTTGAAAGGTTTTTAGTTTATTTCAAATATTTTAAACCGCTGCAGCGCGCTGGCTTCTTCCCAATTTTTTTAATTTCATTTTAATAGACTTTGACACAGACACAGACAGAAGGATATATATTATGGAAATTTTTGTTTTTTGTATTCTATTAAAAATATCCTAATTAAATAAAAATAATTATAAAAATTTAAAAAAATATATTGAATACCTACAATAATAAACGAATAATCTAAATGCTTTTCACAGGGCTTTTATTCTTATTTTATGTGGGTCATTGTGTTTTTTCTTCTCACTTATTAAATTTATTATTTTGCCAATGTCAGAAAATTATAATAAGCTTAACGAAGGCATAACGTTATCCATTCTTCCACCCACTCGATTTCTTAAGGATTTTGCGGACTATAAAAAAATAAAAGTTTAAAAGATATCTTGTCCTCGACCAAGCCTGAACATAAATTTTTATTAGGCATTCTCTCTGTCATTTGTTTTGGATTTATTACTTTTGAAACAGTAAAGTTAAGTTATATTACAGAAATATTTTTATTTAAACTAAATTAATATTTTGTTTGTACCCTGGTATTCTATTTTTACTTTTAGAATAATATTATGCCGTTTTAATGTCTGATTAATCTAGTGTGTAAAACAAGATTAAACTAATTACCGCAGAAGCAATTACTGTTTATTGATGTATTAAATCTGTAATCGATCACATATCATTTCAACGGCTTATAAATATAATTATATTTGCTTAAATTAAATAATATGGTTTTAAGATATTTTTATTTATGTTTTTGGTTTTTTTTACAGACTGATCCCAACACAGCTTTTTTAAGAGCAGCCAGGGCTGGACAGTTGGACAAAATTCAAGAATATTTGGACTCCGGCACTGTTAGAGACATCAACACTTCCAATGCGGTAAGTAATATTACTTACATTACATTATAATGTTATTACTCACTGCATAATTTGTCAAATTTTAAGACCATTTAAGACATTTATTTATCGATTATAAGTTCGAATAAAAAATATAAAAACTTAATTTACACCCTGTATTTTTTTAATTCTGTAGTTTTGTGTATGCCTGGCTTGTGCGCACAGGTGGTTCTTGGGGTTCAAACCCCCCATGAGGGATTTAAATTACAATTTTTACTTAAAATAGTGAAAAATAACTTATAGGTCACGGTGTGCCTGAACGAAGTTTAAGTCACATAAAAATGCCGCCAAAAACTGATTGCAGTTTCTTGTTCGGGACCCTTTGGTGACTTAAAAATGATATTTACCAAAATCCTAGCAGCTCCTTTTTTCGAAATTTTTTGAAAATTCATGATTTTTTTGTTTAATTTTTGTTTATTTCAAAGTCTACCTTTGACGGAGTACACATTTGTACACCGATTTTTATAAAATAAGAGTATATTATTGAGGTGACTTAAAGTATACATTTTAATACTGTTCACATCATTTGATATATATAGGGTGAGCCAAAAATCGCTTATTTTTAATAAAGCAAAAGAATAAATTCATGATTTTGGCATAACACGCAAAAAATATTTATCTTTTTTTAGATATTTCTACGTTTATCAGGTTACAAAATGGCATTCTTATTAACCTTTTATGAAAAAATTGATTTTTAATAAAATAAAATAAAATAACGCTTAGAGAATATTTAAAATGTTGTTTAATTTAGGCTTTTTAGTAGTTTTCAATTTTGAACGAAAAACTGGTAAAAGTTTTTTGATCGGCACTCTGGAGATTTAAAAACGATATTTACCAAAATTCTAACTGCTTTTTTTTAAGTCCACCTTTGCCAGAGTACACATTTGAACACCGATTTTTATTGATTGCAGTTTCTTGTTCGGGACCCTTTGGTAACTTTTAAATGATATTTACCAAAACCCTAGCTGCTCCTCTTTTCGAAATTTTTTGAAAATTCTTAATTTTTTTTGTGTAATTTTTGTTTATCTTACCTTTAACAGAGTACACATTTGTACACCGATTTTTATAATATTGAAGTATATTGTTAACGAGACTTGGAGAATACTGTTTTCATACAGAGCACATCATTAGATTTATACAGGGTTAGCCAAAAATCTCTTTTTATATAGTAAAAAGCATAATGAACAAAAAAGATTTATCTCCAAAAAATGTTATTTTATTTAATTTTATCAAAATCAATTTTTCTTATAAAGTCTTACTAAGGATCCCATTTTGTAGCCTGTTAAACATAAAAATATCTAAAAAAACATGGGTGGGTAAATATATATCTTTTTTGCGTGTTATGCCAAAATCATGAATTTACGCTTTTGCTTTATTAAAAGAAGCGGTTTTGGCTAACCCTGTATATATTAAATGATGTGAACAGTATAAAAAAGTATTCTCCAAATCTCCTTAACAATATACTCTATTATTATAAAAATCGGTGTACAAATTTACATTAATGTGTACTCTGTCAAAGGTAGACTTTAAGATAAACAAAAATTAAAAAAAAAATCATGAATTTTCAAAAAATTTCGAAAAGAGGAGCAGCTAGGATTTTGGTAAATATTATTTTTAAGTCACCAAAGGGCCCTGAACTTCGTTCAGGCACACCGTGAGGTAGGTAATTATATATCATTTCATATTTACTTATTAAATTATAAAATAGGTTTTACAGTATTTAAAAAAACAATACACAGTAAAGCTATAAAATAAATATATCAGTGTCAATATTTTGCTAAAACAGCATTTTTAATTTTTACATTTATTAACAAATTACTTGGAAATAAATTACTAATTTAAAAGTAATTGATATTATTTATGAAAACTGGAGAATTAACGGTTCGGAGAAAAAAGTGAAAATAAAAAAACGGAAAATTTTAAAAATAATCAAATTAAAATCGGAAAGCTGTAAATATATTAATATAATGTGATATACAGGGTGTCCTAACTAGTTATGCGAAACACATACTTGAAAATTAAAATTATCTAACGCAACTTTGCGAGATAAGAATAAAAAACGATAGCCAATAAATTTTGTCTGGGGTACAGAACTATTTTTTTGAAAGGCGAGAGCTCTTGATATTGGCTGTCGCTTTTTTGCTCTCATTCTATTACACTATTACCTAGAAATTTTTTTTTCTTAAATTTGGCATCTCCATTGCTATTAGCACGACCTCTTTTTCTCTGTGGCGCGAGTTCTGGGACACCCTGTTTAAATGAAAATTATGAAAATATAAATATTTTTTTTTAAACAATTTTAATTTTTTTGACTAGTTGCTTCAATTTACTTCCACATAAAAATAATCAATAAAATAATCGCGGGCATTAGTCACAAAATAATTTTACATAATACGAATTCCATGACGATAAGTTGGTGACAAGTACTGTTAAGGTGATATACCTACATATATTCAGTCGCAACCGTGATAGGCTCAAACAAAGGTGTTTTCGAAATTTGTTCATTTAATTCGAACAACCACTCCAAATGGAAAAAGTCAACGTTATTTTCATTAAATTTCAGAACGGTTTGAACGCCCTTCACCTGGCTTCGAAGGATGGACATGTGGAAATTGTGAGAGAACTTTTGAAGAGGGGTGCAATTGTAGACGCGGCCACCAAAAAAGGCAACACCTCGCTACACATCGCTTCTCTTGGTAAGTTAAATCCATATTAAAAGTTTTAAAATACATTTTTTTATTTACAATGTATGTAAGTAAATTCTAAAAAAATATGGTTTATTTTCATAAAAAAATATTTTTCATATAAATATTTTTTAGGATTTACTTATTTAAAAAAAAATATTTATAATTTTTGTGGTTTTACTTTTTTTTCTTACCTATTTTATTAAAAACATTTAAATAATCTTTTTTCTACTCCCACCTTTAAAACACCCATTATTATTGTACACAAAATTATTTTATTATATCAATACAAATATACAAAAATATTAAATAGTTTCTTAACTAGTAGTGCAGTTAACTAGATTATTAACGCCGGTAGATTCGCAAGTTAGAAATTCTAACAGGAATTCCAATAAATTCAAGTGTCACTTTTTCTACCTTTTCTACCTAATTTTTAATACTTTGCAATAATATTTTGCAATTACAGTAATAAAAAAAATTAAAGAATAAAATATTTTCTTAACACAATCATTTTTTGAAGTTATTTTAATATTTTTATCTCCTACATTGACGAGCTGTGACTTTATGGCGTTTTAGTCACGGGCTGAAGTTAGCAATAGTGGCTTTTTGGCATTTTAGTCACGGGATGAAGTTAGCTTTATTATAAATTGCGCAAAGGTGAGGTTTAATCCGTTGACATTTGACAGATGTCAAATTTTTAACAAATAAAATAAAGTATAGTATGCAACTTGTTTTATAAACTTCTCTAGACACTCGTTTTTATTAAACACTCGCCTGCAAGCTTCGCTCGTTCTTAATAAAACTCGTAACTAAAATGGCATTTATAATTATCTATGTCTATATTATGTATTAATACATAATCATTAGACTGGTCCAAAAAAATCAACTATTTTTTTTTGAAAACCATATCGAAAATATGGTTTGGGGCGACAAAAAAAAATTATTGTGAAAGTTTGAGTCCATTATATTATAATATTATAAATATATTAAGAGGTCTATCATCACAATTTTAATTTTTTTTCCCTCATCAAGTTTTTGTCTCAGAACTCCCAAACCATTGAGTTTAACAAAATTTACTTAAAAATATTTTTTTAAGAAAATTAAATTCTCTACAAAAAAGGTTAAATGAAATTTTTCGTCAGATGAACCGTTTCCTTAAAATCATGCCCTAAACATTGGTATAGTTTTACATTTTGATCTTTTAACTTTGGAATTTTATAATTTTAAAACAAAAAAAGCCTCTTAACATTTTTGGCTAAATTCACTCAATCAAAAGTTATTCAAGGTTAAAGTTGAAGTCAAAACGAAATTCTTGTCAAAATAACTTTTGATGGAGTGAATTTAGCCAAAAATGTTAAGAGGCTTTTTTTGTAAAGCATTTCATTTCACATAAGAATATTTATCGGTTTTTTATGGGTACTGATTTTTACATGAATTTTAAAATGTAAAACTATACCAATGTTTAGGGCATGATTTTAAGGAATCGGTTCATCTGACGAAAAATTTCATTTAACCTTTTTTGTAGAGAATTTAATTTTCTTAAAAAAATATTTTTAAGTAAATTTTGTTAAACTCAATGGTTTGGGAGTTCTGAGACAAAAACTTGATTAGGGAAAAAAAAATTAAAATTGAGATGATAGACCTCTTAATATATTTATAATATTATAATATAATGGACTCAAACTTTCACAATAATTTTTTTTTGTCGCGTTGTTAGGCATCACTATACGCGGTGATTTGGACCAATCGGGTTTTAAATTGGAAGAAGGCGACTATAATTATATTTTAAATGGGTAGAAAGGGAGGTTAACCATCTGACAGACTTCAGATTTTATTTATTTATTTTTGAAAATCATTTAATTATAATTAAATCTTATAATTGGAGTAAATTTATTTATTAATAATTGAAAATAATACACCATTTAAGTATATTTTGGGTGCATTATTGATAAATTATGTTAGGTATATTAACATTTTTATTTAAACTAAACAAATAATTTTAAATTAAATATTTGACAAAAATTTTTTATGTAAATATTTTACATCTAAACCCATTTCTCCAAATCTAAAAACGTGGTATAGTCATAACTGCTTGACGGCGAAAGCAGAGATTTTTAAATTTAAATAAAAGTTAAATATATTTTATTTATAATTATTACAGACTTAATTTGACAATAATTTATAAACTGTTATTGAAATTATGTTATTTTTATCGTATACGATTATAATTATTATTATTATTATTATTGTATAATTATAATTATGTTTTAAATAAAAAAAAAGTTTTTGCACATTTCCAAAAATGTCTATGCAAATAGGACGGATGTGCACAAATTTAAACGGAGTTATCAAATAATAAGTTTATCTACTCCTATATTGACGAGCTTTGACTTTATGTCGTTTTAATCACGGACAAAGTTAGCAACAGTTGCCTTTGGGCATTTTAGTCACGGTCTAAAGTTAGCTTTATTATAAATTGCGAAAAAGTGAGGTTAAATTCTTCAGATGAAAAATATTAATGAATTAAAATTGGCATAAAATTCTTATTTCTGTTCGTCGTAGATAAAGTGTAGTATGCAACTCGTTTTATAAACTTCCCTAGAGACTCGTTTTTATTAAACACTCGCTCGCAAACTTCGCTCGTACCTAATAAAACTCGTAACTAAAATGGCGTTTATAAACCTTGATACATAATATACTATTTGGCAGTCAAATATAAATTTAGAACCACGCTGCGCGTGGCTGACTGGGTTTTGAATAGATTAAAAGTTGCCCTAGGTCCTCAATAAAGCTGTTGTAATCCAATTGACCTATTTCCACCAACGTCTACGATCTAATATTACAAGAAACCTTAGCGAAGATTTTTTATATTCCATTAAAATTTAATTTCGTTTTAAGTGCTTTCTTCATCAATAAGTTTTAGCAATTTGATGAATCATTCAGCGTAAATTAATAAATATTAATAAACTCGCAAAATTATTTTTATTTTGTCTTGACTCAGGTATTAATAGTTAAAATTATTATTAATTATAATTAATAAAATACAGTCCAGCTAAAATTGCCATATGAACATTACATTTTTCCTTGAGTGTACCTACTATTATAGTAGTATAATACTGCAGTATTAAAAATGTAAAGTAGTTAAAATAGAAAACGTTTATTTTATGTGTTTAAAATGATGCTAAAAACGAAAATAAGATCATCCCTGCCTATCTCACTCTGAAATTCTCTATATCCAGGCCCGGATCTAGGGGGCATCTTTGCCAACTGGCTGGAATTTTTCCTTTTTAAGGAATTTTTGTACTCGAAAGAGAATAAGGGAATCCTTTATGAAAAATGTGAATATTAAAAAATGATAAATTCCATTTTAATCACGAATTTAATTTAGGCTTAATTAAATGAGTGCATAGAAAACTGTATAAACGAGTTGCATACTAGACTTTTTCTACAACAAATACGTAATATTATCTAAAAAATTATTTAAATTAAATATTTGTATAAACCGAAATATGAAAATACGAAAATAACCATCCCAATAAAAATTTTCACCATTAACATTGCCCCTTATTATTTTAATTAAACAATTATTGATACTTTCAAATATTAAAGTAACTTCAAATATTAAAGTAACTTCAAAATATGATTATGAAACAATAGGGGAATCTGTGTGTCACCGTCAAATGTCATTTTTTTTTATTTTATAAACACAGATTATAAAGGTTATAAATCGAAATGTATTTCTTGAAAATTTACAGTTTTTTACAGTGAAAGTAAAGAAAATGTTTTATGAGCACTTTACAGTGGAGTCCGTGTCCGAATTTAAGTTATAGTTTGCTGCCGGCGAAATTAAAAGGTCAGTACAATGTTCTTATAAACTTTTCAAATATTGGCGTTGAGAAACTATTTAATACTTTTGTATTTTTGTATTGAGATAATAAAATAATTTTCACATTAATATTATTTTACAAGATAGGCAATTTATTTTAACGATTGTATGACATTTGACAACTTTCAACTAACTTAAAACTAACTTCAGCCCGTGACTAAAGCACCATAAAGCCACAACTTGTCAATTTAAAAGGTCACTTAGTGTCATGGAAACATGTACGATAAAGGGCGTTTTAAAGGTGGGATTAGAAAAAATATTTTATACTTTGATTTTTTTATTACTATAATTGCAAAATATTATCACAAAGTATTAAACATTCTTACACGGGAAATGTTAAGGGTACAAAAAGTGACAGTTGTATTTATAGGAATTCCTGTTAGAATTTCAAACTTGGGAATCTACCGGCGTTAAAATCTCAAATTTTTTTCTTTAAATCAAAATTTAACACTTGAAAATAGACTAACAATCGATCTATAGAAGCAGTTTTTTACAGTAAAAGAGAAGAGAATGTTTTATAAGCACTGTACGCAAAATTGTTAACGCTTTATCAGTTAAATATAGTTAACTGCACTACTACGGCGAAATGAGAAGGTCAGTACAACTGTTCATATAATATTCTCAAATATTAACATCAAGAAACTATTTAATACTTTTGTATTTTTGTATTAAGATAATAAAATAATTTTCACATTTAGTATTAATTAACAAGAAAGGCACTTTATTTTAACGATTGTTTGACATTTGACAACTGTCAACTAACTTAAAACTAACTTCAGCCCCTGACTAAAAACCTGTTGCTAACTTCAGCCCGTGACTAAAGCGCCATAAAGCCACGTGTCAATGTATATTTAAAAGGTCACTTAGTTTTAAAGGTGGGAGTAAAAAACATTATTTTTTATTCTGCCTTGACTCAGTTGTTAATAATAATAATTATTAAAATACAGTCCAGGCAAAATCGTCATATGAACATTACTTTTTTCCTTGACTGTACTTACTCTACTGCAGTAATAAAAATGTAAAGTAGTTTAAATAGAAAACGTATATTTTATGTATTTTAAATGATGCCAAAAACAAAATAAGATCTACCCAGAACTTTTGCAGTATAAGCATATCTCATTCTGAATGCTGTCGTTATCCAAGCCCGGATCTAAGGGGTGGACTTCACACCCCATAAATTCAAATATAGAAACATTCAGAGGTATGTTTTGCCGCCCCCTATATACAGGGTGTTATTAAGCCATTAAAACACTTTTTTTAAAATATTATTTTTCCACAAAATTCACAAATTTTGGGCAATCAGATTTTGTAAGCAAAATAATAATTTGTTTTGCTCCAATTTTTTTTTCTTTCATTTTACTTGCACCTTTAGAAATTTTGTAGAGACAGGCATGTCGTTATCATAAATCAAAAACTATTTATATTATCCTTTATTCTTGAGTTGCGTGTGATCCTTTTTTTGCCTGAATGATAATATAAAAATAATTCATGAGAGTGGAAGAACTATTTTAAATTACATGCTACGAAATATGTATACTTAAGTTTTTAACAGTGAGTGCTTTTTGTTGTTGGGTAAAATGTCGTTATTTAGTGAACTTAAAATATGGGTTTCGTTGCCAACCGTACTTTTATGAGCTATTAAAGTAGTAGGTAGGTACTGTTTTTTTATGGTAATTGAAGTAATTAAATTAGAACTGTTTTGAACATGTCCTGAGTCATGAACCTAGACGAAAACAAACTATTAAATTAAACCTATTGCCATTTTTTTTTTACTGTAACGTCGACTTTTGTTTAAAAAATAATGTTTTCCACTCCCACCTTTAAAACGCCCATTATCGTACATGTTTTCATGACACTTTTAAATACACATTAACAAGTTGTAGCTTTATGGCGCTTTAGTTACGAGCTGAAGTTAGCAACAAGTTTTTAGTCACTGGCTGAAGTTAGCCTTAAATTAATTGACAGTTGTCAAATGTCATACAATCGTTAAAATAAAGTTCCCTCTTGTAAAATAATACAAAATGTAAAAATTATTTTAATATCTCAATACAAAAATACTAAATTATTAAATAGTTTCTAAACGCCAATATTTAAAAAGTTTATTTGTACGGTTTGTACCTTTTGATTTCGCCGGCAGCAAACTAGATAAAGCATTAAAAATTTCGCGTGAAGACCACTGTGGGGTGCTCATATCTTTACTATTACAAAGTCCCGTCCGTTACGCTTTAAATTATTAGTTTTTAAGGAATTAAACAGTCAACCACGATACCTAATTTTGCCAAATAAAAACCTTGTTAAACAGCTTTAGTTTAGAACTATTTATAAAAATTTGACATTGGTAATATAATAGAACAATATTATTTTGTATTAAAAACACGGCAACTGTCCTATCTGTTACGCGTGGAATGGCCCTTAAGCACTCGCTCGCAAGCTTGCTCGTGCCTAAATTAAATTCGTGACTAAAATGGTGTTTATCCAACTTAATACATTTTATAATTTGTATTGGATATTAAAAAAAATGGCCCATCTTTTCAATTTTATTGTTTGGTTTTTCTTGAATATATGTAGATATGTTCTTATAAAATAGAAATTGACTTACCACATTACTATTTACGTTTATTGTAGGTGAATAATAATAACAATTATAATTTATGTATACAAATAAAAAAACTATCGATTCTTATTGTTTACCCGTTTTAACATAACTAATGATTAATAGGGCAGTAAAAAGTATGCATTTAAAACCATTAAATAATATTATATATACTGCCCTACTATGGAGAAAGGCAGCAACTACAAAAAAATCTAAATGCGTTTTCTTGTGCTATGATAAAGCTATGGACATTTTGTATCTTAATTCAACAAAGAAATGCAGTAAACTATCTTATAAGTTAAATAAATCAGTTAAGTAAATACCTACTGCTTTTTATAAAAATGTAGTTTATGCTAATTTCCGACAAATTTCTTGTTTAGCAGTTACTGCCTTTCTCCATAGTTGGGCAGTATACCGGGTGTATCTGAGAATAGGCGCACCCCTGTAACTTTTTTATTTATAAAGATAGACACATGAAATTTAGCATGGTTAATTAGGATATAAAATGTCACTTATAAGAGTATAAAATGAATTTTTTGAACTTCCGGTTTCACCGGAAATGAAATCAACTTTCGATTTTTAAATGGAACGCCCTATATATTTTTACATATTTAGAATCCTGAAAAAATTCTGAGTCGGGCAGCATTCTCAAATTGACCTTTCGACGTTTCGTCATAAGAAAATCTATCATCATAAAGATCAATCTAGAGTGATTTGAACTATTTGAGAAAAACGAATTTTGACAAGTTTCGACTGCTGGGAATAGCTGAATAACAACTTTCTAAGGCAACTTCCATTTTTCAGGCATTGTGTGAATCCATTAGAAGAAAATAAGATAGTTCAAAGCACTCTAGATTGATCTTTATGATGATACATTTTCTGATGACGAAACGTCAAAAGGTCAATTTGAGGATGCTGTTTGATTCAGAATTTCCTCAGGATTCCAAATATGTAAAAATATATAAGGCATTCCATTTAAATATCGGCAAAACCGGAATTTCAAAAAATTCATTTTGTACTCTTATAAGTGACATTTTATATCCTAATTAACCATGCAAAATTTCATGTGTCTATCTTTATAAATAAAAAAGTTACAGGGGTGCGCCTATTCTCAGATACACCCGGTATAGTAAATTATCTACAATTTTTTTTAATAAAAACAGTTTTGTAATTCGTGCGTTTTGCGCGCTTGAAATGGTCCATTAGTCGGTAAACAATCACTTTAGAGTTAGTGTTGACAATAAGAATATAAAGATAAAATATGTATATACATATATATTTTGTCAAATTTAAAAAAAAGTATTGGGCCAACCAATCCAAACTAGCGTTTCTGAATATGGCATTAAGTTACATAAGTAATGTATTTTATTGTTTAAAGTAACTCATGAGTCATGACTCATTTATGCTATTTACTTTTCACAATAATTGTTATGTTACCATGATTATATTGTATAAGTAATTACATTTGTCAGGACAACAAATTTAATTTTTTTAATTTAACATTTATTTAAACTGTATTTAAAGTGTTTCCTAATTAAATAATTTTATTAAAACTTCTGTTGGTTGTTACGAAAAATTGTCAAAAATTAAACAGTACATGAAAAAAATTACATTTTTTTCTTTTTTTTTTTAGCTGGTCAAGAGGAAGTAGTACGATTGCTGATTCAACACAACGCCTCTTTGAACGTACAGTCCCAAAATGGATTCACCCCTTTGTATATGGCGGCTCAAGAAAACCACGACGGTTGCGTCAAATACCTACTATCGAAAGGAGCGAATCAAACTCTAGCGACCGAGGTAAAAACTTTACATGCCCATAAACCTAATAATTATTATCGATAAATGCCCATTAGATCATACCTTAACTCTACTGTGTACATCAATTAAGTTTGATTACTCGCGTTTATTGACCAATTAAAAGTTGGTCTTTGATTCACGTAGTTGAGAATGCTAGTTTATTATTGAACGATTGTGTTATTTTGTAGGACGGATTCACACCCTTGGCCGTGGCCATGCAACAAGGCCACGACAAGGTCGTGGCCGTATTATTAGAAAATGACACTAGAGGGAAGGTGAGACTGCCTGCTTTGCACATAGCTGCAAAAAAGGATGACGTCAAAGCTGCAGCCCTACTCTTACAGGTAAACAATACTTTGGACTTAAATATGTTTAATTGAGTTTATTTTTTATATCTCTGATAAATATTATTAGATTTATTGAACAAAATTAAACAAACAATTTAATAAATAAACATTTATATTCCCTTTTCATTTTTTATGTAATGGCCCATTACATTGTTTCATGGCTGAATAATTTTAGCTAAAGGCTTCTTTGTACTGGGCCTTAAGGCCCAGGAATGTTTTAATAAAAATATTAATTTTGATAAAAGGCTGTCGTGGTCTTGCAATGGCCCTTTTTAGGCTAATATTTGTATATTTTACCATAAAAGACCCATATATGGCAAGTTTTAGTATCAAGTTAATGGGTTTAAAAAACCAAGTGCCAAATGTTTTCTGTATATAAAACTTACATGAACCTTTGATTATCCTTTGGTTAAGGCCATATTTTAAAAATGACGCCCAGTGTAATTTCTATAGTTGTAATAGTGTGTTATACCACATAAAAAAAATAATACCTAATGAGTGTTAAATTTAAATGAGTAAGTAGAATTTTAGAACTCTTATTACAGACAAAATACCGCCAAAGAATTTAGTAGAAGGGTTTAATTGATAAGGTCAAAATTGGGGCAATTGCGAATAAAAGAAATTAAAATGGCAAAGAAAACTTGGTTTTCTTTGTTATAGAAGACAATCCACCAAAAAAATCAAGTGAACTTATTTATAAATACATATTTTAATTTTAAATATTTTCTATTTAGTTAGAGGATTTTTTTTATTTATTTAAATATTATGGATTCCATTTATTACCTAATAAACAGTTCTTAAAATAAATGTTTTATGTTTTACTTATGCGATCTTTATTACAACACATTGCTTTTTATTTTTTCTTGTAAATTTTTAAATGTTTTAGTATTACATTTCACGATAATATATTAATTAATGTAATAAGTAATGTATTATGCTAAATGTGGTTTGTTTATTGAGCCGAATATTCTACAACAGTGTTTATTAAGCTGTGGTCCGCGGACCCCTGGGGGTCCGCTATGGACTATTTATCAATAATAAATACATGCTACCAAAAGTCTCAGGAAATATTAGATCAAGCACTGAAACATTTACTGCTTTTCTCAACGACATACCTCTGTGAAAAGGCATTCTCTTCGCTTGTATATATTAAAAACAAATACAAAACAGATTACAAGTGGAATCCGATTGAGATTGCAATTTAGTAGTAACATCAGCCCAAATATCATCAACTTAGTTGCGAAGAAGCAGCACCAACCTTCACATTAGCGTATTTTTTTGTATTTGCAGTACTAAATTAAATGGTCTGACATGTATTGCTGTTTTTTATCAAGGGGTCCTTGGACTTGTGCTTGATTTTCTAGGGGCCCGTGGACGGAAAAAGGTTAAGATCCGCTGTTCTACAATAATAGGAAATTTTATCCCGACCGGCAGATTTTGACGGTAGGGATAACAATTTCTGATTATCTGATATACCTACCACATTTAACCCACCCTAATAGATACTTCACTTATACATTAAAAATTATAATAATATACATAACCACTATAGAAACTTTAACACCCATATCAGAAACTTTAGCTTGCCACATTTAATCACGCGGAAGTCACCGCGTGATAAATGAAAATCATACGAACGTCACGTCGTGATTTTCACAAATTTTATTAATACGGACATCATCCGGATGTCACTGCGTGAGAAATGAAAATCATGTCGTGATTTTTTATGCCATCGCTGTTTGCGATTGACCGATGGCACAAAAAATCATGTCGTGATTTTTTATGCTAACGGTGTTTGGATAATCATTTTTGCGCTACGTTCGTACACTAAGAGAAAAATTATGTTGAATCAACAGTTTTTGCGGTTAAATACATTCAATATTTTGTTGGATTTAAATTAACTATATATGGTTAATTTAAATCCAAGAAAATATTGAATGTTAAACTGTTGATTCAATTGTTAACATATATAAAAGTATACATATATAAAAGTATACTTTTTATACATATGTATATATATATATATATTATAATAGTACTATGCTCCACACTTCAAAGTCCCACCACGTGACCACGTACGGAACGCAGTCTTTTTATAATTTGTCATTTAAGGCTTTTCAGGTTATGTATCTGTCAAAGTATAGTCAATGCAAGAAATAATATTTATACTGTTTAAGCGTTAAAAGTTTATAAATCTTTATAGTATCACAGTAACAATGGTTGGTTTAATGAAATTCTAAAGTGTATAGTGCCAAATAAGTAAAATTTTTGTGCATATGGTCTACATATATCTGGTTTTATCCATTAAATAGTTTTAACTAAACGGCATTTATTAAAAAAAATTAGCTTGTCTATTATGGAATAAGAATACCTATCTGTATCAAAGGTAGGTTAATATATTATAACAAAAAATATCATCTAATTTTGAAATTTTACACTGTCAGCTAATATACCCATAGTGTCAATACAAGTACCTATAAAAGCTTCGACAAAATTTTATCTACATCGAACAATCATTAGGTATTAATAACCTTATAAATTCTAAAATTTAAATAAAACCACAGTATACTCTATCTAATATTTTTACTTGTAGTAGTCTTTCTTATCCAGCTTAAAGTATACCTACATAAAGTTTTGTCAATACAATTACGTATAAAGCTTCAACTGAATTTTATCTTAATTGAAAAATTATTATAACTTTTAAAAATTTCAAAAATCACATGTTATGGAAGTATTAAATATTTTTACATTGCATGTATCTCTAAAAATTGTTTGTTTCCTTATAATCTAACTTAAAGTAGGGATCCCGAGAGGTATGCACAAGTTTTGTTGTTAGGAGTATAAAGCTTTAATTTAATTTGAACCATATTCAACAATTATTTTGTATATCTATATTACCATATTAACACACTCTTCCAAATAATCCAAAATACTTATTTATTTTGATCAAAATAGATTTTTCTAACCTTAAAATTTTAAAATTAGATGATATTTTTTGTAATAATATAGATAAGCTAGATTTTTTTAATAAATGCCGTTTAGTTATTTATGGATTATATTTTATGGATAAAACCAGATATAATATATTAAAATATTATGTAGACCAAATGCACAAAAATTTTACTTATTTGGCACTATACACTTTAGAATTTCATTAAATGCAGTATTTATACTCCTAAACTCTTAAACCAACCATTGTTACTGTGATACTATAAAGATTTATAAACTTTTAACGCTTAAACACAAACGGTAACAGTATAAATATTATTTCTTTCATTGACTATACTTTGACAGATACATAACCTGAAAAGCCTTAAATGACAAATTTTCAAAAGACTGCGTTCCGTACCTGGTCACGTGGTGGGACTTTGAAGTGTGGAGCATAGTACATTCTGTAACAAGTTTGGAATACAGCATATTCCGCTCGAGGAAAAATTTGACACACGAGCCGAAGGCGAGTGTGACGGTTTTACGAGAGTGGAATATGCTATTCCAAACGTGTTTCAGACATTATTTTCTCTACGACTACGTAAGAATAGTAACGCTTATATAATTTTAAACAGAGAAAAGAAACCAAGCAGTTTTTGACATTTAAATTTTTTGTATTGTCAAACCATTTTGTGCTGTCACAATTTTATAATGTAAATTATAATAAATTTAAACAAATGGTATGCCTAAATCTTTATTATAATTAAAAATAGTTATTTACACTAACTAATAAAAAAAATAACATTGTAACAAATAAAAAACTAATTTTACAAGTAATCTATGTCAACATCTATTCTTTTTCTACATTTTAAAGGTCTTATTTTAAACTTTTTGAATCTGTCAAAACTTCAAAGCCGGTATAGTAGGTAACTGGTTTATCATTTTAATATCAAATTTATTATAATTTTGATTTGTATATTTGAAAAACTATAAATATAACTAATTTTTTGTGCCTAAACCTTAATTATACAACTGCTATTATTTTTTATTTAATAAATAATACAGTAATATTTAAATATTTTTAAATTTTTTACGTTTAGTAAACAGCCAGGAGATGTCGTTACTTGTGACCATTCTTAAACAAGAGTAGGAATATTCTCGCACAGTATTGCAGAAAAACATCCTTTCTATGATCAAAAATTACACTAGAATGTTACTATTCTTAAGTAGTCGTAGAGAAAAGTATATATATATAAAAGTATACTTTTTCTTTTAACTAGGTTACAAATTCGCAGTTCGCAGGGCTCACACGCATGCGCAAATTTTGCAAATATCACACCGTGAGTTCTACATGATATCACTGTGATGAAGCATGTGTATGCACTCAGGATATCACAGCGTGATAAAAAAAATCACGTTGTGATATCATCATGACTTCACCAGGAAATCCCGATTGTTGTCCGGGCTTTACGGTTGTGTTTGTTGGGTATATAAAATTCTTAACAAAAAACTGTTTTTGCAAATGCAAATTTATATAATATATTTTATTTTAGAACGAACACAATCCAGATGTAACGTCCAAAAGCGGCTTCACCCCGCTGCACATAGCCGCTCATTACGGCAACGACAAAGTAGCGTCGCTTCTGTACGACAAAGGCGCCGATGTGAACTACACTGCCAAGCACAACATCACGCCTTTGCACGTGGCCAGCAAGTGGGGCAAGCTCAACATGGCAACCCTGCTGGTGGCCAAGGGGGCCGACATACAGGCCAAGACCAGGGACGGACTCACCCCGCTGCATTGCGCGGCGCGATCGGGCCACGAACAGGTCGTCGACATTTTGCTCGAGAACGGGGCCCCGATGCACGCCAAAACGAAAGTAAGTTTTTAACTCGTATTTCGAAATACTAAATTTATTTAAATACTAATTTATTTGAAATGGGTATTTCCATCTCAAATCGGCAGGCCAAAGGGGTAGATCCGTATTTTTTCATTTTGGTTAAATTTGTTTTGTTCAGTTGTATGAAATTTTTGAAAAATGGATAGAAACATCGATTTTTTTGATATTTTTTCTTGAAAATGCAATATCTTAGCCAAAAATGTTTAGATCGTTAAAAATTTTTTTAAATTGTAGGTTAATGTTTACAACATAAAATATAAAAAACTAATTTTTTAATGTTTTTTTTTAAAGGCAAACAAATTGACATCAAATTTTTGACATTGCCACATTTTCTTTTTACTTCATATGTTTTCGTTTAAAGTTGATAATATTCAACAAGAAATGCAAATAAAATAATGTCCACTGCACACAAAACAACAAAATTCGAGAGGTCGGTCTCATACGCATCAGCCAAAATATACAATAATTTACCAGAAAATATAAAAGAAATAAATAATTTAAATAAGTTTAAAAACGAGTGTAAAAACTTCCTGGCAAATCACTGTTTCTACAGCACCCAGGAATATTTTCAGAAATGTTAGATACCATAGCTTTAAAAATGTATGCTTGTGTTCTGTTCTTTTTGTTTTTATACATTTATTTTTAAATTATATATAAAACCATAGTTTAAGTACAAATATATGTGTGTATATATGTGTATTTATCTGTATTTGTGAACCATGCAAATTACTTTAATGACGTGTACACCCTATTATATCTAGGCAAAGTATAAATAAAATATTATTATTATTATTATTAATATGAAAAACTTTCACCAAAAATCCCGAGTTGGCTAAATTCGTCGTTTCGGAAATGGTATTTTTTTAATGAAAATGCCATTTCTAGTAAATTCGTGGTTCATCGCAAAAATTTTATCTAGGATTATGAAACTGGGATGACCTTTATAAAGTGTAATTTAGAACTTTTTGACATATTTTTGTCACTTCTGGTTTCACCGGAAATGCTCTAAGTAAATTAAATTATTAAAGATTTTAGAGTAAAATGTAAATTCTTAATATATGTGTTACTTTTAAAAGATGTAAATAGTATACGCAAGTTAATTATGGTTAAAATAAGTATTACATACCTAAAAGTAATGAATCGAATGCACAAGAAACTTATAAAAACGCGATTTCAAAGAAATCTAGAACACAAACAATTCCGAAAAATATTTCAATGATTTTAACCACCTCAATTATTATTTTTGTTTTATTTTATAAAAAATTTTAGCGTATGTTTTCATAGTAAAATAAAATGTTAATATCACTTACCAGCAAAACAAACTAACAAACTGCCAAATCTGATACTTCTTTTAAACACACAGGTTTCAAAGCCTTCTTAATTTATTTACTTCTGTACACACTTTAAAACATAATAAACATTCCAATTTAACTAAGTGTTTGAAAGCGATATTATTAAAAAAAGCATTAATATTTGTTATCAAATTTAAAAAAGTGGATTTCTTTTATGACCAACGAACCACCCTCTTTTATTAAAAAGAAAATAGTTTTAGCATAAAGTATGGTTTTTCAATTTTTTAAGCTCCTAAAAACCAGCATTGCAAAAAAAGAATAAAATTGTATTTTTTCCAGACTACTTGGCCCAACATGAAGCAGAATAGCCAATTCAAGGCACTCTAGATATAGAAATAAAATTTAATCAAAAAATGATTTGACCTTTCAAAAATTAACAAATGACAAATTTTTGTATTCAGAATTATATTTTAAATCGAAATATGTAAAACTGCATAGGGTGTTTTATTGAAAAATAAAAAGTTAAGACCAAGTGACAAAAATATGTTAAATATCTCAAAAAGTTATAAATTACACTTTATAAAGGTCACCCGAGTTTTATGACCCTAGACTAGATAAAATACCAAATTTTTTAAAAAAGTCACTCGTAAAAAGAGAAAAACCGATGTTGCTGTCCATTTTTAAAAAATTTCATTCTGGTGCACAAAACAAATTTAAGCGAAAAGAAAAAATATGGGTCTCATAGATTTCGGCAGAGCAACAGTAAAAAAAAATCCGTTAAAAAATAACGACCTTCCCCTTTTTGCCTGGTCGTTTTAGATGGAAAGGCCCAAATGCATTTTAAAATTTGTCAAGGTTTTTAAAAATTTAAAAAGTTTGGGAACTTTAAAGATTCTGAAAATCCAAGAATTGCAAATTTAAAATTCTAAAAATTCGCCTCTCACCTTAAATAGAATGGGGACTTTATTTGGGGAAGTTATCGATACAAGATTCCAATTATTTTCGTGGCATTTTATTTTTTTGTACGCTTCTAGAACGGTTTGGCCCCTCTGCACATGGCAGCCCAGGGTGAACACGTAGACGCCGCCAGGATTCTTCTGTTTCACGGTGCGCCGGTAGATGAGGTTACTGTCGATTATTTGACAGCTCTCCACGTTGCCGCTCACTGTGGCCATGTCCGCGTTGCCAAACTTCTTCTAGACAGAGGCGCAGACCCCAACGCCAGAGCCTTGAACGGGTTCACTCCCTTACATATAGCTTGTAAAAAGAATAGGATAAAAATGGTGGAGTTGTTACTTAAACATGGTGCAAGTAAGTGGTTGCGACGTAACGTTTAAAGCATTTTCAATAATTTTAATTATTTTTAGGTATCAGTGCTACAACAGAAAGTGGACTAACTCCTTTACACGTTGCCAGCTTTATGGGTTGTATGAATATTGCTTTATATTTGTTACAACACGAAGCTAGTCCCGATATACCGACTGTGCGTGGAGAAACGCCTTTACATTTAGCGGCCAGAGCCAACCAAGTAAGTAAAAATTATTTAAACTGATTACGATTACAATTTTTTCCATTTTTTGTCTAATGACATTTTTTTACAAATTAATAAAAAAGAAATGTACATTTGGTGCTACTATCTTTTTTTAATGTATTTTGGCCTGCTAAACTAGAAAATCATAATACTTTTTTATGATTTTTTTTGTTTTTAGATTTTTTTTAAATGTCCAAACTTAAATATAAGTTTTATTAGGTAAAGTTATGATTAGTTAATTTTGCACCAACAAATATAGTACCGAATTGGATCCTTTGGCAAAACATGAAAAGGCAACGATTTAGTTTTTGCATTACATAATAATAATAATAAACTTTATTGGAAAATCCAAATGGCTAACGACTTACGTCTTCCTTACATTTACAATTAAAAACACAATAATTTATAATAATCAATTAAATAAAATACCCACAATATTTCTTAATCAGTGATTTAAATATCTGAAAAAAATGCAATATACTTATGTATTTAGAACACAAAAAATACATATATTGTATTATTTTTAAAAAATAAGACGAAATTAGCTTGACACTGATAAAAAAATTTAAAAAATGCAATATATGTATGTATTTAGAACACAAACAATACATATCCCTAGTAGCAATTTTGTCAAAGACTTGGGCCAGAATGGGTCAAGATACTTTGTACAGATTTTTTATCAAGAATCGGACAAGAATTGTTCCAGATTCTTGGCCAAGATTATTGGGCAAGACTTGGGCCAGAATGGGTCAAGATACTTTGTACAGATTTTTTATCAAGAATGGGACAAGAATTGTTCCAGATTCTTGGCCAAGATTATTGGGCAAGACTTGAGCCAGACTGTGGCCAGAATTTTGACAAGAATTTGACCAGAAATCTATAGAGTAGAGGTTCTCATTCTACAGATGCTATAGCATCAGAGCCGTACCGAGGCACACTTTTTTGGGGGGGGGGTGGAGACGATAAAAAACCAACTTATTTTTTTATACAGTATGTTCATGGATAGAGGGCCCAAGAGGACAAATGGACTAAAATTTTCATTTTTCGACCAAAAGTCATTCCTTATAAAAATTTCTGCTTGTTTAAAAAAGTCTATTGCCATACTTTAAATTTGAAAATATTATACAGGGGGGTCAAAAAACAAGAAAAAAAGAAATACTCTCAGCTGGAGTAAACTACCTTTATTTTTCGTTTTGGAGCAAAATGACAAATAAAAAAAAGATTTCAAATTGTATCCAAAGACCATTTGTAAAATTTTAACTTGGTATTCGGAAAAATAAAATTTGGAATATTATTCCAAATTTTATTTTTCTTAGTTTTAAAATTTAATTTCATATAAATTTACAAAAATGACACAATCAACAATAATCAAGTAACGTCAAATTGACAATTTGCATTCTATCATTGTTCATTTTGGTAATTAATGTAAATTTACACAAAATGTCCGGGTTAAGAACCTTATACATAGGTAAAGGATACGTGAAATGAGGTACAAAAGTATAAATTAGAAATTAAATTTTAAAACTTTATAAGAAAAAGAAAATTTAGAATACTGAGTTGAAATTTTACAATTCGTCTTTGGATAGGATATCCTAATAATATTATTTGTCATTTTGCTCCAAAACGAAAAATAAAGGTAGTTTATTCCTGAGAGTATTTCATGTTTTCTTGTTTTTCGACCCCCTGTATAAAATTTTCAAAAAGTATAGTAATGGACTTTTAAAAACAAGCAGAACTTTTTATGAAGAATGACTTTTGGTCCATTTGTATTCTTGGGCCCTCTAGTATAAAAAGTATACGCTATAAATATAAAAAATGGAACCTACTAGGTAGGTAAATCAAAAAAAATCAAAATAAAATCCAAATTTAGGCTACTAGGTTAAACCTAAAAAATACAATTTTATTTACGGTAACAATTATAGGAGGTTACAATAGGTTAAAAATTATAATATTGTAAATTACAATTTCTAATATGTATGGTTTAAAAATTATATTTTATTTATTGTGATTAGTAGGTTGGTAGGGTAGGTAAACCCTACCAACCTACCCAAATAGATTTTGCCAACCGTGTTTGGATTTGGAACCAACTGCCTAGACTTTGGGGGGGCGACTCCCCCCCCCTACACCCCTTAGGTCCGGCCCTGAGTAGCATCATTCACAATACTCTACTCTATTAAATGAAATAGTCAAAATTCTACTATTTGAATTAGTACCAGCATTTTTTACTAATAAAGTTGTCGTTTTCACTTTAAAATGGTTATATTTTACTACTTAAATAGTTAAAGTTTGACTAATTTAAGATAAGTCACCATCTTTGACTGTTTCAAATAGTTAAAAGTACCTAATTTCTTTAATCGTTTGTTTAATATTATGAACAATATTTATAGACAAATAAAATTATTTTTTATAAAAGTGACTGATAGTGATTGGTTATGACATCCGCTTGACAAGCTTGACAAGCGACAGATCGGAGTTCAAACCCCGGCTGGGTCACAACTTTTTTAAATTTAAATCTACTAATTTGACTATTTCATTCAGTAGAATTTGACTAATTATTAGTGACTGCTTTTTCGCTATGACAATTAGTCATATATGACTTATAATTATTTATTTTAGACTAATTCATTTTAAGAGAGTATACTAGTCGAGAAGTGAGTTTTCTGTAGGAAATGAATCGAGTTTTTCCGTTTGTCTGAAAATACGAACAAGAGCTTATTGGATTCGTCTTCTAGCAAAAAAAAAATTGATTTTTTCAAAAATAAAAATTGTTATTTCTAAAAATTAAAAAAAAGTGTGTGTCAGCTCTGACGCGTAACTAGAGTTTACTCTTTATGAACATGAACTATTATAAAATACATATTTTTTGTACTTGTGGACGTACATTAAACGTCCGTCGACATACATCAGATGTCCTACGGATTTCCATTTAAGGTTACTTTGTCACAGTTTTGGACGTCCATTAGATGTTACTAACGGACGTACATTTAATGACATTGTAAGCAATGGACGTACATAACACGTAAACAGCAAGAGTGCTTATTTTACTGCAGCGGGTAAGTTAAATAAAAAGTCGTTAATTTCATATCAATAAATTTTTATAACGATAATGTTAAAACATTTAAATTTAGAGCAGGCTATAAAGCCTCTAATTTAACATTAATAAACGTGTTAAAACCGTATAGGTATACTTGGTATACTGTTTTAATGCGTTTTTTTTCAAAACTTACATTGTATTACAGATAGGTACTATTTTCCACCAAATACTGTACAATACATTCTACAGTATTTGGTTCCACGCAAGTCCCACTTTGACATTTGAATACAAAAAACTGAGGTTAGGCATCTGTCAGTTTAACGCTTATTTCGTCTTATTCTCTGAAAATAATACAATAAATGTGCATAAAGGCCTAATTTAGAACACAAAAAATACATATATAATGGACGTCCATGGGATGTAGTGTGCTGTATGGGAATCCTAGACGTTAAACGTGTTTTTGTCGTTCTTTAACGTCCGATGACCCGACGATGATTTATGGTTATTTTATGCAGATATACCGCCATATTTACTACTGTTCTAACTTTAATTGCCATTAAATAGAAAAATATCGAATAAAAAGTTAGGGCTATTTTTGTAACTTTGCCCCCCCAAATGTAACGCCTATGATTCAATTTTAACAGTTTTGATCTAAGATCTAGATTCAGCATGTCAAAATTACCAAAGTACCAAAAATTTATATCTTCCTGTTTAAACATCTAGGAATAGTTTAAAAAATGATCCTCTTAGGCTCCTATTCAGGGGGCCGTAGCTCCGTTAGGGGGCATTTTTAGATACATGTTTATTAAACAAACAAGTGATATTTTTCTATAAAGAATGAACTTTTTAAGTTTGGCCCCCTAATTTCGGGACACCCTGTATAGGCAAGAATTTTCTAGTAGGCTTTAGGACAAAAGTGACGATTGGGTTATTTATAATAGTTATATTTTTTATAATTTTATAAAAAATTTGAAATATTAACTCTGAAAAAAATTGGGGATGTTTTTGTAATTTTGCCCCCCCCAAATGTTACGCCTATGATGAAATTTTAAAAGTTTTGATCTTAGATCTAGATTCAGCATGTCAAAATTACCAAAGTACCAAAAATTCATTTCTTCATGAACGTTTTAATGAAAATATGAGATAATAATAATGAGAGTAATTTATTTATAAATGCATTTTTCTCGAAAATGGTGCATCTAAACGATCTAAATAAAGAGTACCTATTTTTCGTAAAAAACTATAAATTTTCATAACTTCATAAACAAAAATTAAAACATTAACCTAGAAAAAAGTTAGGGCTATTTTTGTAACTTTGCCCCCCCAAATGTAACGCCTATGATTCAATTTTAACAGTTTTCATCTAAGATCTAGATTCAGCATGTCAAAATTACCAAAGTACCAAAAATTTATATCTTCCTGTTCAAACCTCTAGAATAGTTTAAAAAATGATCCTCTTAGGCTCCTATTCAGGGGGCCGTAGCTCCGTTAGGGGGCATTTTTTGATACATGTTTATTAAACAAACAAGTGTTATTTTTCTATAAAGAATGCACTTTTTAAGTTTGGCCCCCCAATTTCGGGACACCCTGTATAGGCAAGAATTTTGACGTATACGTCAAAATTCTTGGCCAAGAATCTGGTCGAATTCTGGTCACAGACTTGTCGCAAGTCTGGCACCAGTCTGGATAAAGAATTTTGATCAAGAGTCTTGGTCAAGAATTGTCCAATTCTTTACAAAGTGCTTTTCCAAGTACCTTGACAAAGAATCTTGTCCAATTCCATTGCTACTAGGGATATTGTATTATTTTTAAAAAATAAGACGAAGTTAGCTTGACACTGACAAAAAATTAATCTGAATTATTTCCATTAAAGTCGCGTGGTGGGACTTTGATGGGTGGAGCATAGTAAATAAACGGTCATAACTTTGGTACTTATCTATAGATTTGTTTGTAATTATCTTGTTTTCTTTGCAAAAGTGTGGACTTTTGCGTAGATAATTCAAAAATCATATTTTGATCATTTTTATTCGTTCTTGGCGAAAAGGTAAATGTTGCATTCTTATTTTTTAATATAGGAGCCCATTGCACTTAAACTACTCAACTGATTGAGCATTAAGAGAGTGATATTGACCCTTTTGCAACCATGTTGGCCGTATGGCATTCGAAAAACAAATAAAAAAAAATAAAAATTCAAATCTCAAAAACCTTTCTTTCTATAAAAAAAATTATTGTGTTTTTTTATTTTGGCAGGCCAAAATACATTATAAAAAATAGTGGATCGAATGTACATTTTGGCTATAAACCCGTGAAAAAATGATATAACACACTACGATTTTTTTCTCTTTCATGAAAAATTTCTATATTTTGAAAATAGACTTAAAAAAATTATACCGTGTTTCGGCGTTTTTTCAGATCACGTCATTTTTTTTAGTGCGGTCCAAGAAATTGTTGTCCACGGTATTCGGCACATAATATAACAGCTGGGTCAGAATTTCTCAAACGGGCCACCTGAATTAGGTCAAAATTAGTTTTTGTTTGTAGATACATTTTTTTGATAGTATTTTACATCACTAACACAAATCCTAAAGGATTTTGTAAAAAAAAAATTTTCAATTGACATATTCATGATATTAAAAGTAAAAGTTTTTAGTAATTAAAAAATAAAAAAAAATCATTATGGCTAAACTAATTATCCGATTCCAACGATTTAACTAGCGTTGGAATCTTGTTTTGACATAGATTCTTTATTATTTTTTTCAATTGTACAATTTTCATTTAGGTCGATTTTTTTTTGTTTTTTTTATAACAAATTCGGAAATAATTGGCTTCTGCGCCAGCTATCGACTCGAGAAAAAAAACACATATACTCCAATCATTTCTCGAAAATATGCTGCTGAGAAAAAAAATGGCCCGCAGGTTGACAAAAAGTTATTCGTCCTTTTGTGGCCGCGCGCGGTGTCAGCTCACGCTCCGAACCGTGTACGCTGTACGCGCTTGTGACGCGACGTCTTACGGTGGTCTGGAACCTGCGGGCCATTTTTTTTCTCAGCAGCATAATTTTGAAAAATAATTGGAGTATATGTGTTTTTTTTTTCGAGTCGATAGCTGGCGCAGAAGCCAATTATTTCCGAATTTGTTATAAAAAAAACAAAAAAAAATCGACCTAAATGAAAATTGTACAATTGAAAAAAATAACAAAGAATCTATGTCAAAACAAGATTCCAACGCTAGTTAAATCGTTGGAATCGGATAATTAGTTTAGCCATAATGATTTTTTTTTATTTTTTAATTACTAAAAACTTTTACTTTTAATATCATGAATATGTCAATTGAAAATTTTTTTTTTACAAAATCCTTTAGGATTTGTGTTAATGATGTAAAATACTATCGAAAAAATGTATCTACAATCAAAAACTAATTTTGACCTAATTCAGGTGGCCCGTTTGAGAAATTCTGACCCAGCTTCGATAACAACTAGACTGTATAGTTTTAAAAAAAATTTATTAACTGAATAAATGGACACCCATTAAATGTACATTTTATAGAGATGCGATTTGAAAAAAAACGGTCCGTTTTTTTTTCAAATGGTTTTTTTTTAATTTAGGTTTTTTTCAAGATTAGTCCCATTTGCCTAATTTTGTGTTTCCAGTCCAGTTCGTGGACTAAAATTAGCCTCTAAATGTAAATACAGTCTCGCGCTTTGCACGCGCCACCACCACCGAATTGACCAATAGGGGCCGCGCTTGTTTTGATTTGGTTCTAAAAAAAGTAACTACCTACCTATAATATTTTTTATTCAGGGCTTGATTTTGTTAAAAGCTACCAAAAGCACTTCTCTTTCATGATTTATCAAATTCATGTAGAGTATGGACATTTTTTTTTTCAAAAAAACAATAGCAAATTCTTGTAGAACATTTATTCATTGGTGGTCAGAACATTCCGTGGAAAAAAAGCCAAACAAATTTCGAATTTTTTTATTACGATTTTTGTTGCACGTTTGCACGTTTTCCATCTAAAAATCTCAAAACTAGAAACTTCAAGCTTCAAATTGCTTTTTTTACGGCTCCAATACGACCATTTTTAACGAAGATACAGCTATCCGAAAAATCGCAAAAATTTTTAATTTTTTCTATTAGTGTAGAAGTTTTACATTGCTATTGGTTTCTTATGTGGAAACTACCAAATAATAAGATTATCAGATTTTTTAGTCTCGGTCAAAATTTTCAATAATGAAAAATGTAATATATTCTACATTTCACTTTATTATTAATATAAATTTTACTCGAAATTTCATTTTGAAAAATTACTCCATTTTTTAAGATTGATGTTATTTATTGACAATATGCTTTATTGCAGCGGATTTGAAAAAAAACAAACCGTTTTTTTATAGTTTTTTTTTCAGGTTTTTTTTCACATCTGAAAAAAAACCGTTTTTTACATCTCTAACATTTTAAAATTAGTTAAATTTTATACAACGTGTTGCACATTTATGAATATATCAAGTAGTGTTTTTAGGTTGTAATACAACTAAAATATAAGATGAATACAAATCTGTTGTTAAAAAAAAACAAAAATTAAAAATAGAAATTAAAAAAAAAAATTATTTTTTTTAAAGTATAATTGTTTTATTATGTAAAACATACAATATTAAAAAAAAATGATTTATAACAGAATAACTACATATATGTATGTCAAACTAATAAGAATGGCTGTATAAGAAATTTAAATGACGTGATTTCGTTATTTGTAAAAAATGATTTATAACAAAATAGAGAATTAATCACAATCCACACAACAAGGTCTGTTCTATCTCATGCTAAAAATACTATAAATCACTGCAACACTGCACAGAGTTTAACGGCGGCCATTTTTGTTGTTTACAATTCTTGTGCTTTGGGTTTGTGCTGTTTAATAATTGTTTTAAACGTTGTGTTTCTTACAGAGGCACTTGTAAGCCTCAAATTAGGCCTTTAAGTGCTAAGGACAACCATTTTACTCCTCTTTTATAATAAATATACCTTATTCTATCAGGTCTGTCTAATGACAATTTGAAGGTTAATTTGTGGGTTATAATTTAACCTTAAAATTGACATTTGACAGTTTTATGACAGCCCTGAGAATAAAGTTTATTTTTTACAATAGAGGAGTAAAATGGTTGTTCTTAGCACTTTAAGGACTCTTTTAAGGCTTACTATGAGAAACAACGTTTAAAACGATTATTAATCTGTATAAACAGAGCACAAACCCAAAGCACAAAAATGGGGTAGTTAAATTTTTTCTGACCTTTACTTTTTATGGTTTTATTCAAGGCGTTTTGTAATATTAAACATTTCTGTAAAATTAGAATTTCAATTGAGTTTACCGTTTTCGAGATATTTACAAAAAATATAAATTTTTATGACGTCACAAACCTCGCCATGTGACCAACATTCTAAGATTTCTATTGGTTGAAAATTACCCTGTTGTCAAGTTGTCTTGTTAATGATTTCATTCGGTTATGTCAGAAAATACCCGAAGAGGTTATGTACAAATACTGTCACTGTCAGTTGAGTGAAAGATGGTCACCAAATTCCTTATTACGAGATATCATATTACTGTTTGATATTTTAGAGTCCAAGATATATCTAAAAGAATATAAAGAACTAGGCATTATACTAATTAAATGCATTTACGACAAAATATGATTATAATTATTTGTTTAAAAGCTCCAATGTTCAATGTAACCAACCATTCCACAAGATTCCTCTGCTTTGGAGTCCGTTATTAATAAATCACTTATCTAATATCAATTACAAATAACATAACAATAACATTGATTTTCAATAATCTAAATTTATAAAAAACATAACCCGAAAAAAAGAAACGTCAAAAAATCAATTCTTCTTCTTCTTCTCAACTAAAATTATAGATCAAGTGCATAGAGTGGTTTTTCTATGATCAAGTGGTTTTAAAACTAAAATATTATAACGTGGCGCCATCTATCGTAAGAATCTTAAACTAAACACACTGGCAACCATAGAAAAAGCTGGCAACGTTGTCAATAGCCTAGTGACGTAATTAGGAGATTTTTTTTTGTAAATATCTCGAAAACGGTAAACTCAATTGAAATTCCGATTTTACAGAAATGTTTAAAATTACAAAACGCCTTGAATAAAACCATAAAAAGTATAGGTCAGAAAAAATTCAACTACCCCATTGTTAACAATAAAAATGGCCGCCGTTAAACTGTGCAGTGTTGCAGTGATTTTTTGTATTTTTAGTACGAGATAGAACAGACCTTGTTGTGTGGATTGTGGAATTAATTATCTGTAACTAATAAGAATGGCTGTAAAAAAATTTAAATGACGTGTTTTTAAGCTCTATTTTCAAAACCTGTTAAAATTTTTCATGGGAGAGAAATTGTGTTTTATTATAATACAATACGTTTTTTCATCTTACCAGACTGACATCATAAGAATTCTGCTGAGAAACGGCGCTGCTGTTGACGCCAAGGCGCGAGAAGAACAGACTCCCCTCCACGTGGCTTCCAGGCTCGGCAACGTCGACATCGTGATGCTTTTGCTGCAACACGGCGCTCAACCCCACGCCACCACCAAAGACCTCTACACCCCGCTGCACATCGCGGCCAAGGAGGGCCAAGAGGAGGTGGCGTCGGTGCTTTTGGAGAACGGCGCCGATTTGACGGCGACCACGAAAAAAGGCTTCACGCCGCTGCATCTGGCGGCCAAGTACGGCCACCTCAACGTCGCCAGGCTTCTTTTGCAGCGCGACGCCCCCGCGGACGCGCAGGGCAAGAACGGAGTCACTCCGTTGCACGTCGCTGCGCACTACGACCATCAGCCTGTCGCTTTGCTGCTGCTGGATAAAGGTGCGTCGCCTCACGCCACTGCCAAGAATGGACACACGCCGTTGCATATTGCTGCCAGGAAAAATCAGGTAATATTTTGACAAATGTTTTTATAAGTTTTGTTTTATAGTCGCGTATGGCGTGCCATTTTACTTTTTAATTGTATAATAATATTTATTAGAAAGAAAATTATCTAAAAAAATAATTCCAACAGAAAAAGCAAAATGACTTCGTAATATGCCATTAAAATGATAAAATGATAAAAAAATGCTGCATTTTTATTTATGTTATTATAAATTTGTATATTTTGCTTTACCCAATTCTTTTTGTGTTCACTATTTTTTTGACACGATTTTATTCTGTTAATTTTTTTTCTCAGTACTCATTATACAAATGCATACTTTAATATTATTACATTAAACAATTTTAAGTCTAGGAATTAAAATTCTCGGTAATTTTTATTCTACCAATTAAAATTATGACTTTTAAAATTATGTCTACATAATCATAGATAAGGGATAAGTTGGGTGGGTGGGGGGTTTAGTACATAATTTTAATTCGGCGCTGCCGTTGGTGCGGTTGAGTTTGTAACTATAAGTAGTTCCACTGCTCTAGTATTGCATCTTGAGATTGAGAACTAGATAGGCAAATGCGCAACATGTGGTTCATATGTACTACCCAAGAGGAGCGCTTAAACTAACTAAAAAACTGGGTTGCCTTCTTTGAAACGTCATAAATTTGAATTTGTGTGGTTATGTTAGACGTTATTTTGAATAATAATCTTAGCTTCATTTACCGCCATGAATTTTAAGTTAAATATTAAAATATAACGTTTTAAGCCTGATTTATAGATTGCCTTCCTTACTTCCTCCCGTAAAAGTTAAACAATACCAGTGCTGTTTATAGATTCCCGTACGGATAGTAGTAGTTCATATGCACTACATAAGCGCTCCTCTGCCCAAGCAATTTCACCTACCACTGTTGTCATTTTTGGCCGCTGTACCGCAGCGCCAAATTAAAATTATGTAAACCATAATTTTAAATGGTAGAATAAAAATTCAACACAAATAAATAACAGAATAACAATTAAACAGAATAACAATTCAGTAAATTAAATTTATAAATAGCACAAGAAAAACTCAATTTACTTAAACAATAATGAAAATGAATCAAAACATTTTAAAGCATAAAAAGAACTTGCCCACAAAATAGATGTTCAAATAAAAATTCGTAAAATAAATTTACGACAGCAGGATAAAAGAACGCTAGCATTGCATGTTAAATTGAAAATACCTTTATCTTAATAAAAATTGGTAGAATTTCTTATAAGTCAAATGATAAATTATCTAAAGAAAAATAATCTTCCATTAAAAATATTTTTGGACGTGTCAAATTATAATTCCCCACAGAAAAATTGTTCAAAACTTTAATACCTTGCAGAGAAATGTATTATTTTTTCAATGTAGAATAAAAATGAATTAAAATTATGTTAACGATAAAAATAATTCAATTTCGTGCCTATACTTTTCCATGTATCATGATTTTTTTATGTCTAGACATAATTTAAAATCCATTTTTGTGCTCGTTGCATAATAAAAATTGACTTGTCGTAGTGTATTAATAATTTTTATTCTTCTTGGCCATTTTTATTTTACTTTGAATTTTTCTGGTATTAAAAAGTAAAACGGCACGCCATAGTCGCGTCCAAATCTGTATGGGTGCACGTCATCAATGCGATAAAATGACGTCAGCATTACCAGCTTTAAATTGTAAAGTTACTTCGTTAAATTTGGTTTTTTGAGGCGATATTCTGATGTGTTATAAAAAAATATCATTCATTTGCGTAATGTTTACCAAGAACTGTAACAATTTCCCTGTTTTAATACGTTTTTTTTATGTAATTACGAAAATAAAACCATTCACTTAGTAATTTTAGTATGTGCCAGATCACGTCAAGTGGACCCACCACTTGGTAATAGAATTTAAATTTTAATACATCAATCGTTAGTAGTCATTAATAACAATATTTCCTTAAAATATTTTATTTTAATTATAATTTTAACAGTTTTTTTGTAACAAAGATTTTTCTCACTTTTAATTAAAAAATTAATTGTGAAAAAACTGTTAAAAGTTTCGTAGTGAAATTTTCAGGACTTATAGGCTAATATATGTATGTTTATAAACAAATAAAAAATATTTTTTTTTAAATTGTCATGTCATGTTTTGAATTCAAATAAAAACAAAGCATTCATACCAATTCAGCCGAGCGCGGCTTCGACTCATCAGGCGCGGATCCTTGCAGTAAATAATTAATATTGTTTAAAGTAATGCCGGGCAGTGAAAATTTTTTAAGAGAGTAAAGACAATGGCGAGGGTGGGTTCAATGCTGCCGTGCTTAATGAAAACGCCGTAACCAACAATTTTGCGATTTTTGGTTTACGGCATTTTCTACTAGAACAATTCATCCTGCGTCTATCCCCGGTACTCAAAAAACCGTATATATATATAGATACGGTTTTTTGAGTACCGGGGATAGACGCAGGATGAATTTTTCTAGTAGAAAATGCCGTAAACCAAAAATTGCAAAATTGTTGGTTACGGCGTTTTCATTAAGCCCGGCAGAATGACGAGGATGATGTGCCGTTATCCACACATGCTAGCACCGTGTTGTCGGTTTTTGGTTCGGTACAATCTCATGTACCATCTTCAGGTCTTATCTGCTGGGCTGCGGTTGCTGCTCTGCTGCGAGTTAGACGTGAATGTTCTTAAAAACAATGATATTATGAATTTTTTTTGTACCTGGTTTCTTTATTTTTTTTTAGCTGTATTTCAATAAATATACGTTTCTATTTAAAATTAAGTAATTTTACTCATTCTTTTATTTCTTTAGAAAAAACTAAAAAATTTGACCGTTCATTAGTCAATTGACCACAAAAGATTTTGACCGGTCAAAATCCATACCCTAAGGATATGAAACCTTAATATCCAGTACATGAAAAAAAAAAACTTGATTATTTGATAGACTTTATCAAAAATTTTAATTGTAATTTCAATGATCAAAAAAAAATTAAAAAAAAATGTTTTTTATTTGTTTATAAAAATACATATATTAGCCTATAATTCCTGAAAATTTCACTACGAAACCTTCAACAGTTTTTCCACAATTAATTTTTTAATTAAAAGTGAGAAAAATCTTTGTTACCAAAAACTGTTAAAATTATAATTAAAAAAAAATATTTTAAGGAAATATTGTTATTAATGACAACTAACGATTGATGTATTAAAATTTAAATTCTATTACCAAGTGGTACCTATGGCACGCCGTTTCACTTTTTAATCGGATAAGAAATATTAAGTTAAATATTAATACTTTAAAAATAAATTGCACTGGAAAATAATACATTAATTAGAATTATACCTGCCAAAGAAGTTATTTTTTTTTTTTAAATATGTTTATATAAGATGTTGAATTATTTATTTAATGTAATTTTTCTGTGTGCAATATTTTAGTGACACAATTATATTTAACTTAATAATTTCTTATACAATTAAAAAGTAAAACGGCGTGCCATAATTAATTTTATGTGTAACCAAATTTTAATTCTAATAAAAATGATACAATTAATTTTATGTGTACACATAAAATTAATGCATTAATGAATTTTTATTATGTAATTAAAATTATGACTATATAATAAAAATTTTAGAATTAATTTTATCTGTACTGTAAATGCCCATAAGCGCTCATAAATGCTCGAGCATTTATAAACGATGAAATATAAATTTTATAAAAAAAAATTATTGAAAAAAAAAAATTCCAACAAAATAGACATAAGTAAACCATTTTGGAATCGGATAAACCTGCACCACTTGTGTGACCTGCACATTTTCTGATGTAAACAGTAGTTATTTGATGGTTAATTTATAACCCCGCTTTTTAGTTTGCGCCAAATTCAAATATCGAGCACTTTGGTAAATGCTCAAGCATTTATTTATAAGCGCTTTTGAAAGTGCTCATCCTTTATTTTAGATATATTACCTTATATTTTATTAATGTTTATTTAACATCACAAAAATATCTGAAAATATTTTTAAAATATTTATAGTTTATTGCATATTTATTTTAACAATGTTGTTGCTTTTGTCGATAAAATGTTGCTTTTATATTTATAAAAGCCGTGTGACACCCATAATTTTTTTTGTACTGAATTATCTTGTTTTGAAGTGCAAAAAGTAGATGTGGTATGATATTCTCATATCAGATATACTAAAATAGTGGAATACCATAGCAAATATTTAAAAAAAGTTTATTTTATAAATAATCGATATAAATAAAAGTAAAATATGTAAAACAAAAATTCTTTGAAAGAAATTACAGAAATAAAAGAATATTTTTCTTTCTACAGTCTTGGTTTTTCTTTTTAAGTTTCTTTTTTACTTCCTTTTTAAAAAATTTAGCCTGAGCCATTCTTGTAACTCCGATAAAATGTCATTTTCCGTCGTAGTTGCGGTTTTGCGATTTTTCCGGATGGAGGCTAAAAATAATTTAATTTTAATTAAAGTCCAATACCGCTCGGGGAAATTACTTTGTTTTGAAAAATTAAAAAACAATATTATTTTTGCTTTTCTAAGCGATTTTATTAGGTTTATGTTTGTTAATAAGAAATTTACCGATAGAAGAATCGTCTTCCATAGGGTGGCAATACAATTTTAAGGTACCGGCGCGGTTAAATTCACTGCCATTCATAAATAGCAATTATAATCTAAACAATCAAAATAAATATAATACATACCTACCTCTAGCAGGAAGGATTATTAGCGTCGCACTTGAAACACACTCAACAAAGTAAAAATGCCCATACTGACGCTGATTTTAGCGGCCGATCCTCAGACAACAGTTACAGTATGTTAATTCAAACAATAATTAAATAATTTTAATAATACAGGTTAAATATATTAAAAACGCTTAAGATAAAATTCAAATATTAAGTTTAAAATTAATATAAAAAAATTCAAACATTAAAATTAAAATTAAAAAACTCATTAGAGTCGTCATTATTTTTCATATATATAATAAATAAATAATCGATGAAGATGACTGGTAATGTAGTATTTTTGTGTTTCTGGTTTTTAGCATTTGTTTGTTATATACAAATTATGTAATAAAAATGTTTGTTTCCTCTCTAAACAGATTTAATAAAAATTTGGCTGTAACAAACTCCTAATTAGTTAGTGTAGAAGATTATAACAATGATGTTATAATTCCATCTTAATAAACAGCCCCCATCGCCATAAACAGTTAAAAATACACGAGCCTTAGATTGTGTCTGGGCTAGGGTTTTAAAGTGTCGGAAAAATGCAATAAAATTGAAAAAACCTGTTTTTTCCCTGGGCTTGGAAAAATTGTCTTTTTTGTAAATACACACATTTGAAGAAAAAAGTGGCAATCAACAACTTAACATACAAAAAAATATCCTTTATAACACAAAAAAAATTAAACTAAACATTGAATTAAATTAAATTGATTTAAGAAAATAAACGTAAACGTGAAATATACTGTCGGTTGGGTCTTTTTTGCAAAAGGGGTCCATTAAAAATGTCAACTACAAAATAATAAATGATTTATAAAGTTAAATTACATTATTTTAATTATATAAATCGAAGTGTTAATTCAGCACCTAATGTGTTTTTTTGCGGCCCGGTAGAATATTCTTACTGAATTAATATAAAAGGAATAATTATTGTAATGATAATACATGTATAATGATTAAAATAAGCGTCGTAAATTCACGTACACTCGATATCAGTGTACGGATAACATAAAAATTGATATGCATTTTTTCGTAAAATTAAAAAAAATGAAAGTCAATTTTTCTGAAAATTTCCCAATTTTTCCCGGTTTTTTTCCGCCGGCTCAATTTTTCCGGAAAATTTAAATCCCTAATCTGGGCACGTATGAGTAGACCTTAACGCTGACGTCATATGCCGTTGATGACGTGCACACATACAGATTTGGCCGCGACTATATATGTTTGCAATTTATAAACTTGCCCTGTATAATATAATAAATCCTATTTTTTAGATGGATATTGCTACAACACTCTTAGAATACGGTGCCCACGCCGACGCAGAATCTAAGGCTGGCTTCACACCTCTCCACTTGAGCTCGCAAGAAGGTCACTCGGACATGTCTTCCTTACTGTTAGAACACCAAGCCAATCCAAATCATGCAGCCAAAGTAATAAAAAAAATCTTGTTCGTCAGCCAAACGAAAAACTGACGTTGTAATTTTCAGAACGGACTTACGCCCCTTCATCTTTGCTCGCAAGAGGACCGCGTGCCGGTCGGCAACATTTTGCTGCGCTCGGGCGCCAGCAAAGACGCGCAAACCAAAGCCGGCTACACGCCGTTGCACGTGGCGTGCCACCACGGCCACGTCAACATGGTCAGGCTTTTGGTCGAGCAGGGCGCAGACGTCAACCCTGTCACAAGCGCAGGTTACACTCCTTTGCACCAGGCTGCGCAGCAAGGACACGTTTTGGTCATCAGTTTGTTGCTGAAGAATAAAGCTGACCCCAACGCTATTACCAATGTAAGTGACAAGCATAAACATGTTAAATAATATTTTTCTGCCTACAGTATGTCCAATGGACGGTGCTGTTCTGAGAGGTGATTTTTGGACTTTCTGTGAAACCTAATTTTTTTTTATATTCTTGTTAATTTGGTCATAACTAAAATTTTAAGAGCAAAATATAAAAAATTTGACGGTTTGAATTGTTTTAATTGACTGTTTATTAAAAATATTATGCACTCTTTCAATTCTCCAATTAAAACTAGCGATTTAATTTAAATATTTAATATTTGCATAACTAAAAAAAGGTTTTTACAATTTTTTTTATAAATTTTACTGTTTTGTTGCAATAAACGTTCAAACTTTTAATCTAACCTTTGACGTATACATTTATGTTCCCTTAATTAATATATCCTTAAAGATTGCCATGATCTATTAAAAATTTATTTGATGTTTGAATTGTCATTTTCAGTATACGTATTTTATAGTAAATTTAAAAGTAAACTACGTACACGTCATCAATCAGCTGATCGGGCACGGTTGTCAATGTGATGCTAAAATCCTTGCATCAAGGGAAAGTGGTAGTGCAACTACAGGGCGATAGATGGCGTTTACATGAATAATACCAAAATGTCAAAAGTCTGAGTTTTTATAACCTATATGATGCACCGCCAAAAGTATGTTTTTAGCCATTTTTAAAGACATTTTCTGATATAAAACCCAAAAATTTTGCCATCTAAAGTCAGTCTCTGGTATATATATTATTATTTTATGTATCCAACATATATTTTGTTAAATATTCTAATATATAATTAATAATAATCCTATTTACCTCTCTAACAGCTTTTAAAGGTAACAAAGGTCCATTATTATCCCATTCTGCCTCAAAATAGCGTATTAAGGATGACACCAACTCTTGACTCCGACTATTTAAATGCTTCGGCATTTTAAATATAGAAAACACAAAAAAACGATATATAACAAACACACAAACGGCAATGAAAACTTAAACGATATAAAATAACACAAACAACAAACAAAATAAACGAAATAATACATGAATTAAACGAAAAATTCAAAAACACAACTGACAGCTTCGAAATTCTAAAACGTCAAATTCTTTTTTATGTGTCATTTAAATATGAAATATTTGAATGTAAATATGACAACATCTTAATTGTTGCCAACTGAAGATGTTTAAAATGCATTCAAATATTCAATTACAGACTTCGATTTAGTCATTTAGTGTTGGTACCAATGCGTAAAATTTTTGTTTTATTGATGACGTGTACGTAGTTTACTTTTAAATTTACTATATAATTTTTGTTTAGTTTTTTTAGTGTTTTTTATAAACAAAAATGAAAAATTGTAGTAAAAGTTACGAAGAAATTCATGAAATTTAACTAAGGACCGGTTTATTCATCTTTAGTAAAGTATCGGGCCGATAACTTTCATGTCTTGGCAATATCTAGTATCCAAAGAAATTATTAGAGATGGGAATCGGAAAGTTTCCATTTAAGGAAACTTTCCGTTTTGGAAAGTTTCCAATTGGGAATTTATTTTCATTTTGAAAGTTTCTTTTAAGCTACCGGAAACATTCCTTGGAAACTTTCCTTGTTTTTTTCATTTAAATGTCAATTGTTTAACCGCTGATTTTCGTTAAGGCCATGATACAAGGCCAAGAAACTTTAAATAAGAATTTAATTTGTGTTAATTTAAAGCAGAAGAAGAAGTATAAATAATGTATGTTATGTTACATAACCTCAATGAAGCCGGATTATTCAGCATCAACACAAAAAACTTTTTTAAAAAAATAAACAAATTTAAAATCATTCTTAGATTTTTGTTGTTTATTTATAGGCATAGCACAATGCCAAGAGAAAAATCTAGTGTTTGGAATTATTACAAAATAGTGCAAAAAAACAAAAAAGACCATGCTCTCAAGCAAGTTCTGTAAGAAAATCTATGTCGTTAATGCAACCAAAAATTTGACAAAAAGTTAATGTTTTATATATTTTTGCAAATCCCTGGCATAAAAAAAATATTTTCGCAATAAAAAAATTTTTTTTGAAACTTTCGGAAAGTTTCGGGAATTTTCAATGGAAAGTTTCCGGGAATTTTCGTCAAATGGGAATTTTCCCATCTCTAGAAATTATTCGTCAAATAAATCAAAAATGAATAAATCGGCCCTAAATAAAATGTGGCACCCTTAGAATTATTGTTTAATAAATGTATACTATACATTTAACCTTAAATTAAAACTTTAAACGTGTATTACAATAAAACAGTAAAAGATATAAAAAATGTATAGACCTTTTTTAGGAAATTAACTAATCTTTAATCTGATTTAAAAAGTTATGATAATATTTAAATAAAATCGTTTTAATTGGAGAATTGAAAGTGTGCATACATATTTTTAATAAACATCCAATTAAAACGATTCAAACCGTCAAATTTTTTTTATTTTGCTCTTAAAATTTTAGTTATGACCTAATTAACAAGAATATAAAAAAAATTAGGTTTCACAGAAAGTCCAAAAATCACCTCTCAGAACAGCACCGTGCCTAATGTCCATGGATGGGGGGTTACAAAGAGGAAAAACATATTTACAGAAAATTTAATTCTTGATCAGTTTTTGCTTGATTTCAAACCCCCCAGCTGGCCAGAACATCATTTTTATTGTCTATGGTTAATTTGCAATTTTGATTTTTCTGAAAGTTTTGGACTAAAATTTTTTTAATAAAAGTAGGTAATCTGTGATTTTTGGTTAATTTTCGTTCATTTGTCATTTTTTAAAAGTTATCATTTTTATTGACATCTTTAAAGATTTACTTTTTAAATTTCGCCAAAAATACATTTTTTATTGCTGTTTTATGCATTTTGTATATATAGACAATAAAAATTATGTCGCATATTCTGAGGGTTTGAAATCAAGCAAAAACTGTTATCAGGAATGATATTTTCTGAGAAATGTTATTTCCTTTCTCTTTTTACATTTAAAAAAAAAAAATATTTGAAGGTAAAAAGTTTTTAGGTAATTATAAAATATTGTAGATAAATTAATGGACAATCGCTCACATTTTAAAAAATTACTAAAAAATAGACGTACGTTTATAATATACAGGTTTAAACAAAAGATGTTTTTTACCATAAGTTTAAGACACTTTGTAGAGTGGCAAAACCGTATATTGTTCTAAATTAAGATTTATTTATCAAGTCACAACTATTCTTAACAGTTTTGTTTTTGGTTCACCTCAATATATTTATTTTTGTGAAAAATATTCTGTATGAAGCACTAAGGTTGCTATGGTCCATCCATAGGCTATGGAGAATGACAGTGACAGTTTTGTTGAATCATCCCATACTTGGACATGTCATACATGGCTTTCAAAAGCTATCAAATTGTTTTTTGCAAATTAATGTTTAAATTTTGAGGTGTCTTCTTACTTTAAAAAATGGATATGTCTCCGAATGATGTTGCCAGAGCCATTCATTTATTCCAGGATGGACGGTCACAGTATTACGTGGCAAGTGTTTTAAACGTCACAAGAAGTAAACATCAGCTGGAGACATTTTTAAAAAAAAGAAGACAACTCAAAATTAACACATTAATTTACACAAAACAATTTGATAGCTTTTGAAAGCTGTATATGACATGTCTAAGTATGTGATGATTCAACAAAACTGTCACTGTCATCCTCCATAGGCTATGGATGGACCATAGCAACCTTAGTTCTTCATACAGGAAAAATATTGGAAATTGCAATGTTTTTTTTAAAAAATCCATATTATCCACAAAAATAAATATATCAAGGTAAACCAAAAACAAAACTGTTAAAAATAGATGTGACTTAATAATTAAAACTTAATTTAGAACAATATACGGTTTTGCCACTCTACAGAGTGTCTTAAACTTATGGTAAAAAAACATCTTTTTGTTTAAACCTGTATATTATAAACGTACGTGAATTTTTTAGTAATTTTTAAAATGTGAGCGATTCTCCATTAATGTATCCACAATATTCTTTAATATTTGTTTAAATCCGAAAACAAGTAAACAAGTTATTTGCGATTGAAATTCATCGAAAATTTGTGTGGATCGATTATTTTGTCTGTGAGTGTAATATTATGTTATAACATAATAAGTTTTTATGTAATTTTTTTATTTATCATAAAAATATGTTTTATCGTCCTAAAATCACTTCTTTAGTACAACAATGTATTTTTTGGAAATATTTCTACCATTTACCCTGTTTTAAAAAAGGGTGAAAAATCTCTAGTTGAAATATATATATCCTCAAAAATATTCTCCCAGGTCAAAAATTTGCTTTCGCCACACCAACATGGTTTTATGGAAAAGAGATCTACTACAACCAACCTTGTTTGTTTTACACAATATTCTAGTAAATTACTTGATAATCGAGGTCAGTTGGACGTAGTATCTACCGATTTCCAGAAAGCATTTGATCAAATTAACCATTCAATACTGATAAAAAAAAAACTATACAACTTTGGGTTTAGTAATACACTTATTGATGTTTTAACATCGTACTTAATAAATAGACAGCAGATTTAACGGTTTTTGTTCTAATTCTTTTATATCCACGTCGGGAGTGCCACAGAGTTCTAATTTGGGCCCTCTTCTGTTTATTATGTTTATTAATGATCTTCCTTATAGGATGAATTGTCTTAAGCATATGTATGCAGATGATCTAAAAATATACCAGGAAATACAATGTCTGGACCATTGTGTAAAACTCCAAGATAAACTTAATATACCATTGAATGGTGCTTAGAAAACAGGTTAAAACTAAATATTGCAAAACGCAAAGTTATGTCTTAGACAAGCAAAAAGAAACCTATATTTTTTAACTATCAAATTAACGGTATCTCTTAAGAATTAATTAGTTCTTTCAAGGATCTTGGTGTGTTGTTTGATCATAAACTTGAGTTTGTTTCGCACATCAATAATATTGTTAAATCGGCTTTTTGGACACTTGGATTTATAATAAGAAACAGTAGAGGGTTTAATAAATCTCAAACAATGCACTTGTATTTTACATTTCTAACGAAACGCAAACGTCAATATATCAGCAGACGTCAATACATCAGCGCCGCTGGTGGTGAAAAAAAAAAGACTTAATTTGTGCAATTTAGAGGGCAATTTTCCCTATTAAGTTCGGAATCCTTGTGTAGGCTCCATGATCAAAGGTGTCAAACAGATTTAAGAATGTCAAAAACAACTTAAAATATCAAGGCCAAAAACTTAATATATATTTGTGTATTAAGAGCGCAAAGTGATACATTGCCACCCTGAGCGAGAAGTTTGACGCGGCTATCTCGCGAGAGCGGCAATGTCACTTTGCGCTCGAATTACACACAGGATTTTTTCTACAACCGGTGTTTCTATAAGAATGTTTGGTAAAAATTAATAATTATTGATAAACTCAAATTTGACGTTTGTGTCAAAAGTCGCAAATACACTAAACGTTTCTTTGGTAACTAAGCGAGCGACAAAGTAAAACGCTCGCTTCTCGGAAAAGTGAAACTTTGCGCTTTGTTTTGGAAGCGCAAATTTGTATTTTGCGCTTTGTTGTAGAAAAAAATTATTAGCATACATTGTATGATTTTATGGTAACTTTGTATGCCATACAAAGTTACCATAAAATCATTTAACTACGAATTCCTGAGAAATTCTAAAGGTTTATAAAAAATTTAATACATATTTTCCCAAAACATTTTAAAAACAAATGTTAAAATAAATTTTGGGATGCTTACAGAAACATAATTCTGAAAATTATTTTTATTGACTAGGTATGATTTTTTCCAACAAATCTTTTTTTTTTGTTATAGAGTGGACAAACTGCTCTTGGCATCGCCAATAAGTTGGGTTACATTAGCGTGGTGGAAGAATTGAAGGTGGTGACTGAAACAAATGTTACCACTACAACGACGGTAAACATCGAGGAGAAATATAAGGTTGTTGCACCTGAGGCCATGCAGGAAACGTTTATGTCCGACTCTGAAGATGAGGGTGGTAAGTGTTTAGTTTTTTTAATAATGATAACAAATTTGTTGCTTAAGTGAGAGTTTTTATTAATAACCCTAGTTAATATTAAATATTTTTGTTTTTAAGCACTTTTTCTTTTATTTTCTACAGTTTTATTTACTTTACTTATTTTTAGTAAATTAAATTATTTTTTTCAACTTCAGTACCTCCATTCTTTCAGTTTTGTTTTATTTTTGCACTCTTTATTTTAATTGCTTTTTTATTTAATTTAACCAGTTGGCAAACTGCTTTCTTCCTTCCCAAGAATAATTTATGGGTTCAAATTGAAAATACCAAATTTACTTTTAGTAATACCTACCAGACAACTATTTCTGAATATTTTAAAAATTTTAAATAAAATATGTCGCCAAAATTTCTAAATTGGTGGTCTAGTTTTTTTATGAAATAAATATGGATACAAAATTATAAAAGTAGGTATACAACTATTTTACAATAAGTGACCTGAAAGTTAAATTGCCACAATAAGAAACACTGATAATGTCAACAAAAAAAATGTGTGACGGTATTTTAAAATGGTTGTATACATACCTGAAAAATAAAAACAAAAAAGTTGGTAACAGTGGCTAAGGGTACGGTGGTGGTTGTTGCATGCAGGCGGAGTAGACGAGCCGCCAGTGGCGTACGGAAGACCGACGCATGCGCAGCACGTCTATCTACCCTTCTACCAAGGACAAATGACCTACATGACAAGTAAGTTGTGCAACCCACACACAAACCGTAGAAAACAAATCGATCGATAAACAAGAGAAAATTCTGTGTTGTTAGTCACCCATCATCATTCATCCTAGCTGTCCTGCACCTAACACTTGTAAAAATGGCTTTTTTGGCTTTTGAACATTGTAGAACTGTAATTAGATTGTGTGCCCTTTATATAATTATAGAATATGTACAAATCTAAAATGGAGACAATAACAATTACACTAAAGTACAATAAAAAACATTTTAAAAATATTCTACCAAGGTTTTTATTGTTACTTTTAGTAATGCAATTAAAATAATTTCTTATTTCATACAATGTATTAGCCAAGTTTTTGAATATAAATCTCAAACAATATTAAATTAATATTTATTTACTGCCCCAGAGCCAAACGTATTAAGTCCACTTTTAACACTACATATTTTTTGCCAACATTTTTCCGCTCTTTCCAATGGAAAACAGGATATATCAAAAACTACTTAATTAGACAGGACTAAATTTTGTTTACTATTGGAAAGATCGGAAAAATATGCAATGTTACTTAAAAAAGTGTAATTTACCAAAACGAATAAAAATGTTAAACAAACCTGTTGGTGCACTTATGTACAGGGTTATTCTATACTCGTATATTTAGACAGTGCTTACTGAGAGATAAGAAAAAACTTTAAATACAAAAATTGTAGGGTTGTCCTAAATCTGCAGAAAATGTTACTTAAAATAACAAATGAATATCGCAATGTTGGTAAAAAATGATTTATATGTATTAATAAATAATATTATTTCATATGAAGTATGAACCATTTGTGTTTTCATGGCAACTACGATTTGGTAAGGCAATATAGTTACGTTTTTTAAATGCAAATATTTAAAAAACGGCTAAACCAAATGTTAAATTTTTTAACTAACTTCGATATTTATTTCTGGCGATTTAGGAGAAACCCTACAAATTTTGTTTTTAAAGTGTTTTTTTATATCTCTTATAATAAACTCTGTAGACGCTGTCTAAATATACGGAATAACCGTAGAAGTAGTTAGAAGTAACTAAAAAAATTGATCTGAATGCAAATAATCATGTACTATGCTCCACACCTCAAAGTCCCACCACGTGACCACGTACGGAACGGACTATACTTAACAGATACATAACCTGAAAAGCCTTAAATGCCAAATTTTCAAAAGACTGCGTTCCGTACGTGGTCACGTGGTGGGACTTTAAGGTGTGGAGCCTAGTACAAGTACGAAAAACGCTAATTAAAAAGATATTACATACATTAATAAAGGTTTGACTAAAAATTTTAAATTTATGAAAATTTTGAATTTGATGAAAATTGTTAATGGAGATTAATGGAAATTTGGAAATTTTGAAAAATCTGAATATTTGAGAAATTTTAATAATTTTGGAAATTTGTCCCACCATTTTTTATATTTATGCCACTGTGCAAATTTGTTCCACCATTTTATAAATTTATTCTACCATTTTTTAAATGTATAAAATTTATGCCACTGTATGAATTTGGTGGTCTGTGAATTTGTCCCACTATTTTTTAAATTTATACCACCGTGCAGATTTTTTCCACCATTAATTAATTTCTTTCAATGTGCAAATTTGTCCTACCATATTTTTAATTTATGCCACAGTGCGAATTTTCCGCACTATTTTTTTAATTTATGCCACCGTGCACATTTTTTCCACCATTATTAAATTTCTTCTACTGTGAAAATTTATCCTTCCATATTTTTAATTTTAACAGTGCGAATTTTTTCCATTATTTTTTAAGTACTATGTGAAGGTGTATCATTTTTTAAATTTATGCATGTAAGGGCAAATAAAAGAAGGAAGTTTCTACGAATTTTTTAAAAATCCATTAAAAAATTGTAAAAATTTTATAGGTAATTAAATAAATTTTAACAATTTTATTACAATATCATTAAAATTAAAATAAGTATTTATGAAACTAAAAATAGTAAGAAATATAAAATTACATATGTAAATAATAATAAAAAGAAACACTTTTAAGTAGAAAATAATATAATAATAATTTGAGTTGTTTTTAATTAAACCTTTGTATTGGTAGAATTTCAAAAACCTAAATAAAAATATTGTAAGCATATTCACATTAATCAAAAGAGAAAATATGTACGCTGGACAGTGTAATTATTATTATTATTATTATAGAGATTTACTGTTAACCATCCTACTGGAAATGAATACATTATATGTTTTGTTTAAAATAGTATAGCATATATACAGTTTAAATGTGTTTTCATATGCATGCAATCCACGTTTGTTTAGGCATTCAGTGCGCGCCTATTCACCTTTTCTTTCGCACTTAGTTTCACACTTAAACGGTTCATTGATAAAAGTGATAGTGTACTATTAACGCGAAGAAAACAGTCGAAAATTGGATTTGTTATGGGAACTAGTTGATAATTGCAAATTAATAAACAATTTTCGTTCAGTTCGCTTATCTGTTTTGAAACGCAATTTGTTAAAACGATTATAATATAATTTAAACTCGTTCCTAGCCGGTGGGACAAGGCAATATTAATTACTCTACTTTTTTTAGCAATCGACCTTATCATTTCAATAATTATTTATCGATGTTTACATACGTTATCAATATGTTAAGGATTAGTAGTTTTCATAACTAGTACTGCAGTTAAGTGATTTCAATTTTTTTACGACTTTTTTCGTGTTGTGTAGGAGATGATCCACTGTTAGGCGACCAGCAGCAATACAAATACATGACCGTTGATGACATGAAGAGTTTGGGAGACGATTCCATGAAAATGGACGTGACGAACGACGAGTACAACAGACATTCGATGGGTGAGTTAAAAATAGACCTTTTGCGAATATTTATTTATATTACCATGATAATATTTATATTTTATGTGTGCTAAAAATATTTCTCAACCTTGACCTACACACTATTTCAATATTATCTACTACTACTACTACTACAACTTTAGTTTAGTATTAGTGGAGAATTTAAAATCATAACTTTTGGATTTTTTAAATTCCTGACTTAAGCACCTATGATGATGCATTGGTTAAATATTTAGTTGATGTTATCTAAAGATAAAATTAAAATCTATTTGCTCTCAATTGATTACTTTTTGTCTATCTATACAGGGATTTCTAATTATTTATACAGGGTGTCCCAAAAATGGCGCACTATTGTGTACTATGCTCCACACCACAAAGTCTCACGACGTGACCACGTACAGAACGCAGTCTTTTGAAAATTTGGCATTTAAGGCTTTTCAGGTTATGTATCTGTCAAAGTATAGTCAACGAAAGAAATAATATTTATAGTGTTAACGCTTATGTTTAAGCGTTAATAATTCTTTATAGTATCACAATAACAATGGTTGGTTTAAGAATTTAGGAATATAAATACTGCATTTAATGAAATTCCAAAGTGTAAGGTGCAAAATAAGTTATATTTTTGTGCATTGGGTCTACATTTCTCTATAAAATAGTTTTAACTAAACAGCATTTCTTTAAAAAATCTAACTTCTCTATTATGAAATAAGAATATCTGTATCAAAGGTAGGTTAATGTATTAGAACAAAAAATATCATCTAATTTTGTATTTTAAGGTTGGAAAAATCTATTTTGACCAAAATAAATAAGTGGATTATTTGGAAGAGTGTGTTAATATGGTCATAAATAAATATAGGTACCTATACTAAATAATTGTTGAATATGGTTCAAATTAAATTGAAGCTTTTATACTTCTAATGACAAAACTTGTGCATACCTCTCGGCATACCTACTTTAAGTTAGATTATAAGAAAACAAAGAATTTTTAGAGAAACTTGCAATTTGAAAATATTTAATACAACCTTTGACATTTGATTTATTAAAATTTTTAAAGTTATAATGATTTTTCGATGTAGATCAAGTTTAATCGAAGCTTTTTAACTATTTGTATTGACAAATATGTAGGTACACTTTAAGCTGGATAAGAAAAACTACCACATTTTTAAATACCATATTATACAGTCTTTTAAATAATCCAAAATACTTATTTATTTTGGTCAAAATAAATTTTTGTAATTAAAATTACAAAATTGGATGATATTTTTGTTATAATATATTAACCTACCTTTAAAACAGATATTCTTATTCCATAATAGAGAAGCTAGATTTTTTTTTAATAAATGCTGTTTAGTTAAAATTATTTTATGGAGAAAACCCACAGACCTACTGTGAGAAAACCAGATATTTGGACCAAATGCACAAAAATATTACTTACTTATTTGGCACCATACACTTTAGAATTTCATTAAATGCAGTATTTATATTCTTAAATTCTAAACCATCCATTGTTATTGTAATGTTATAAAGATTTGTACATTTTTAACGCCTAAACATAATATTATTTCTTTCGTTGACTATACTTTGACAGATACATAACCTGAAAAGCCTTAAATGCTAAATTTTCAAAAGACTGCGTTCCGTACGTGGTCACGTGGTGGGACTTTGAGGTGTGGAGCATAATACAATTTACGATTATTTAATGAAATTTTGTATTTTTAGCTCCTTCTCACTTAAGTAACGAGCTTATTATTACTCCGACCCACGTCAAAGACTATTATGCATCAAATGTAAACCACCATGCCCCTGACAACGTGGACATCAAACGACAACCGAAAACCACAGAGTAAGTTTTAATTTCACGCACAACATCAGCTTCTATTTATGCCGGCAAAATCGTACACTGTAGTACTCACTTTGCCCGCAAAGTTTTAATTAATATAAGTTTGATATATAGATATCTAGGGTTTGCTACAGTGTACCAATGTTGCTTTTTGGGTTTATTTGAGAAAAAAACAATTAAGTGCTTTATTTTTTTCACACAGTGTTGAGGTTAATCCATTAAAGGTTTAACAAGTCATTGCCAAAATTGCTTTTGTGATAATACCGAAAATTTGCTTTGAAAATCTATTTTGGTTGATAGATTTTTTCAGGTTGTTATATATTTCAAGGCAGTTTTATTTAAAAGATTACATATTACACACAGTTTTTATATGTTAAGATTTTTACTTCATAGTTGTAATCAAACAATTTATATAATAAAATAATTTGCTTACTTCAAAAAGGTACCCTTTACATTTAAATAAGAAATGCATTACATTACGTCAAATAATTGAGGTTGTGTATCTGTCAGTTTAACGCTAATTTCGTCGTATTTTCTAAAAGAATACATTATATTTATATACAGGGTGCACCAAGTATCCTAGGTGTATACTGTATACTTTGGGTATTTTTTTATTTAAAGAACCCCAAGTTCGGTTAAAATAAAGAAAAGTTGCTCAATTACAAGCGTATTAAAATGTAATTTATAAATTGGAAAAAAAGACCAAAGGTTCTCAAAATATTTAAAAAAATATTTCAAACCTTCAAGATCAAAAACTGTTATAACTTTGTTATTAATGGGAATTTTGAAACACAATAAGTTTTAAGTTTTTCATGTATACACATTAATCTACATTTTATCAAATTTCTTTGCGACTATGTTTGAAGTTACCAACAGCATCTTTTGTTTTTATAATGGCCGCCATAACTTATGTAGTTTGATACATCGTTGGATTCCATGATTTTTTTCTATCTAACCATGTAAAATTCCAATATGGCGGTCATAGGAAAATCAAAAGTTGGTGGTGGTATCTTAAAATCTAGTAGGAGAAAAAAATCCCAAATTGGACGAAAATGTGTAAACTTACTTTTTTTTTAATTCCCAGGTACAATAAAGTTATAACGATTTTTGCTGACAGGTTTTCAGTTTTTTTAAATTATTTGAGAACCGCTGATTTTTTTCTCCAATTTTTTTAATGCCAACTTTTCAGTAATTAAGACGAAATTAGCGTTAAACTGACTGATAAAATTTAATAATTATTTGACTGGAATTCTTATTGAAATCTCAAAGTGGGACTTTTTGTGGATATGGAGCATAGAATTTAGGTAAGTATACCTACATATCAAATCGTCAAAACTTTTATAACGTGCGCGCAACTTTGTTTGAATACAGCTATACCCATTCATGTTCTACATTTGGCAACAACTTGTAATTTTAATGATAAATATATCAATATCACAGATAGGGGGAGTTATTTTAAATATAACAAAAAATACATTTTTTTCTGACAAATTGTTTTGGAGTTTTTTTTGTTTTGGACTTTTTGTATGATAAACCGAAATATTAGATATTCAAAATATGGAAACAATTTAAATGGGGCAGCTGAGATTGAAATAGTTAAAATAAGTTTTACTGACAATACTTTGAATCATCATAACTTTGTTGGTATTAACAAATGTTTAATATTGAAACGTCCGTGGAATATTGTTTTCTATCCTTTTATTTAAAAAATAGCCTCCAAAGTTTGGAGGCCAAACAACAAAAATATAAAAAATAAAATTTTTGATTTATTTTTTATATTTGAAATATCCCCCTTATCTAGTGCACCATTTTCGGGACACCCTGTACCAGAGTGTAAATTTTTTTTTAAATAAATTTGTTGTCCAGTGTAGACAGTAAGTAGACAAAATTGTAAAAATCTTCTTCAATAAATATGAAATGTAATTCTGTCCACGATAAGTTGGCGGACTGAAGGTATGAATAATATTAGTATATAATTTATATACGTGTACTTAAGTTGACAACATATGGGAAACTTTTTTATTTTTAATTTTAAGAAAAAAAGTTATTTTTCAAAAAAGTTCTGCATGTTCTAAAATCAAAAATACAATCATCAGATATAAATTTGTTTCAGTCGTATACGCGGTTTGTCAAAAAATATGAATCTCACTTAAGAGTTTAGTACCTTTATATAATCATATTGTAGCGAGTACGGCTCTGGATATCGGAATGATGACTCATCGCCGTTGAGTCATCGCCGGTGACTCAGCGCTCGAATAATCGAGAGCGTGGAGCTCGCTGGAATGTTCCAGAAGACGAAGGCGCTGAATATATAAGGAACGACGCATCATGGAGAGTCAGTCAAGTTTTAATACGCGCGTCGAAATAAATAAATATAAGTGCAAATAAATAGACTCTAGACTAGTAGTGTTATATAAATAATTAATAGTTAAGTGTTTTATAGTGTTTTAAGTGTAGTTAAGTTATTAAATAAATAATTTAGTTCGTTAATAAACCAGTGCGTGTTTTAATTCACACTACGAACAGTTAAAAAACGTTACAATATTATGACAAAAAAACTACGTTCAAATATGAAATTAAAAACATTTTTTCTTTTTTGTTTACTAGTTTACAATAACAATGCAAATGTAACTGTAGTTACATGTAATTGAGGATGCACTGAAAACAAATTATTTGTTGATAGCAAGAAATGTTTGTCATTGACTGTCAAAACATCAGAATTTGCTTATTACTTTCTGAACGGAACGGAAAGGTTATCATGTTTGTAATAAATAAAAAAGATAAATGTTTGGTTTCGTAAAAAAAGTTTTTAAGTAGAAGGATGTAATTGCATATTAAAACAAACTTTTTCATTTTGAAAAACTTTTCATAATTAGTTTTTGTTATTGTCACAAATAACAGTACTTTACTCTTGAACCATATTCATATTTTTTGTCAAACCTCGTATATGACTAAAAAATGATATCTGATGATTTTATTTTAGATTTTAGAACATGCAGAACATTTTATAAAGAATAACTTTTCTTTGTAAAAATAATAAGAAAGGTTTCCATATGTTGCCAACTTAAGTAGACACACTGTATATAAATAATAATAAAAAAACATTACTAAGTAGGTATGTTTTTTAATACCATTTATCTAAACTGCGTGAATATTCCTTTGCTCCGCCAACTTATAATGGACAGACTGTATGTAGAAATTGAAAAATAGATTAGAATTTAATGTTCCTTTATATTTTTAATAATTTTTAAACATTATTTATAGAAATAATATACCCACATCCCAGTAAGTATGACTTTCCCAAAGAAAAACTAAAAAAAATATGTTTATTATAGTTAACTGTATTAGTTTTTGTGTACTAACCCTTAAGTAAACTGCCTTGTGATATAAACCAAAAGCTCTAGTCATCACCATATTGTTTCTAAGTTTTATTTAATTTAATTTAGTTAAATTTGAAAACAGTTGAAATGTCACAAAATCTGATGAAAATTGTACTATTGCAATTGTTGTTGACTAGAGATATTTTCTTCATAACCTATTTAAATTAATTACATAATGTGTTACATATTTTCTAATCTTATTTTCAACAACAAAAATAAAGTGCATTATATTTCTGCACTTAAAATTAGAAAAAAAAACAGTCATAAAGACCTGCCTATTAATAAATTGCATAGGTCTGCAGCCATATTGATGTTTAAAAATTAAGCTGATTAAAAGCTTTTTTAAATCTGACGATACTGATTGATTCTTGTTTGACTTGAAACTATAATTTGTACAGTTTTTTAACAATAAATTGATCAAAAAAGATGGTCATGTAATCTTAAAAATATTTTTTTTCTTATCCGTGTCTACGAAAATGCATTAATATAGAAATAAGATTATTAAATCATTAAGCCTTTAATTTTATTATTAATTAATTAAAGCAAAACATATTGCTAAAATATTTCAATATAAAAATATGAGTAGCAACTTTTCGCACGCTTGTAGAAAAAATGTTAAAGTTAAAAATGGAAACTGATTTTCTTGCTTGTTAAAAAATATTGTTTCTAACACATGCGCAAAGTAATTTTTCCGCACTTAAAATAACTATTACAACGTGAAAACGCGACGTAAGTTTCAGATCCGGATTTAGCGTATTAAAACCTTTAGACCTTTAATTTTTAAACATTGGTTAAAATTTGGACTTAAAGACCTGTGCTACCATTTGTCAAAACATCAGTATTCCCCCCTCTGTTACGTGTAAAAGCCTAAGTAGTCTAGTGTGTGTATGTGTTTAAAGCTTGTGCAGATACGAGTTGTCGAGACTAGAGCAATCTCTGATCCGATTGGGCCCGCGCAGCACAGGACAGGGTCTATGCAGAGACAGGTACCCAAAAATTAAAACCAAACCAAAAAAGAAACGACTTCAGTTCGGTCTTCATTGAACCACTGTCGTCGTTTGATTTGTTGTTATAATTTTTTTAATTTTACCATTATTAAATTGCACAGAATGCTGCACTGGTCTAACTCTCTCGTGTGAATCACTGTGTATATTAATTTTATTAATATTTTGGGGTTTTTGTGTGTATAAATAACTACTAACATGTATATATCTTGTAAATTAGTGGCTTATACCCTATATACAGTAAAGTGTATTAATATCAAAGACTAAAAAGAAAATATTGTGCCTGAGTAAACTACTATTCAACCATATTTAATTTAACTGGTATATGAATGAAACGTAATAAGAAAAATTCAACTTTTTAATAATAATTATTTAAAAAGGGGTATAATGAAAATGCAAAAATAACAATCCAAATAAAAAATAATTTTTAACAAAATTAAATATCTTACGAATCATTGAATTGTGGGACTTACATTACCTATTTGTGAAATTCTCATCCATGCTTGCTTAATCAAATTAATTGTCATAACCCAATATGGTACTGTTAAATTTGTTTTATTTTGTTTGTTGATTTGATATTAACTTTTTTTTTGTTGCCCGTATTGTTCCCCAGTGTTCCCAGTTGGAAAAAGTAAGTTTAATGTACAGTGTATAGTCATTTGTGCTTTTACTAGTTTTCTATGTAGTGTTTTTATCGTCTTTTCGTTTTAACATTGTATATTTTACACCATTCTTAACACATACATCTATAAATACACACACATTTTAAACAGAAATAATGTGTATAATATAATAATTCTGTTTGAAATTTTGACATAATAAAAATTATCACAAAAATATCATATAATTGGTTATTAAAAATGTATTTTGGCATGTAACATGGTTATATTTTAAATTATATTAAAAATTATATTGGAACTAAAAACTATATAAAGTGTAATATAAAATCATTATTATGCTTTTCATAATAATTTATTTAAAAATTGTCACCAGCACTTTAATATATTTTATTCATTTTGTAATTTATACAAGGTATTTTTAATTACTTTTTAAATTTGTTTAAAAATATAAAATAATTAATTATTTAAACTGGGCAAAAATAAATGTGTTTATTAAACACCCATTTGATTTCTTAACTTCAACTGGTGGGCGAAATTCTACTTCGCCCCCTAGTGGGCAAAATGCAAAATAAATGTGTTTATTAAACACCCATTTGATTTCTTAACTTCAACTGGTGGGCGAAATTCTACTTCGCCCCCTAGTGGGCAAAATGCTATTCCGCCCACGGGCTAAAGTTAGCTTGAAGTAAACATTGGAAAAAAGTGAGGTTGAAACTGTTTGACAGTTGTCAGATGTCATATAATATACACAACTTATTGGCATAAATTTAGGAAAAGATTGAGCAAGTCAAAATAAACCGAAAACCCAAATAAATATTTTTCCTAATTACTTATGTTTCCAAGATATAGGTTGATAAAGTGTTACTTATCATATCAGTTTTTTTAATATAACCTCTACTATGGTAGTCTTGGAAAGGTGATATTTTGCGAACAGTCATTTACTACCAAAACACATATTCACACATAATTATAATTGTTTGAGTGAACACAGTGTCGTAGAAACGGGGGTTGCTTTAAGCTTATTATCCCATACAAACTTTGAGGTTAGGTTTTTATAACATTGAATGCATTTTTTAGATTACACAGTTCGGCTATCATTAAAAAGATATACTCCTCAAACTTCGATAAAATAAACCGTTTCCGAAATATTCGAGATTACAATAATTATTATATCGCATTATTTAAAAGGATTAAAAGGTATATGATAACAAATTTTATTTTTTAAATGAAAAAACTAAAAAGAGGATTCCATGAGCCTCGGGACTTTTTGCCCTGACCGTCACATTAAAAAAAATTGTAGTTTTTTCAATTAAAAAATTTGTTTTCATATACCTTCTAGTCCTTTAATGCGATATTACAATTATTGTAATCCCGAATATCTCGGAAACGGTTTATTTTATCGAAGTTTGAGAGGTCCACCTTTTTAATAGTAGCAGAACTGAGTAATCGAAAAATTGCATCAAATGGTATAAAAACCTAACCTCAAAGTTTGTATGGGACAATAAGCTTAAGCAGCCCCTGTTTCTACGACACTGTGTTCACTCAAACAGTTGTAATTATGTGTGAATATATGTTTTGGTAGTAAATGACTGTTCGCAAAATATCACCTTTTCAAGTCTACCACAGTAGAAGTTATATTAAAAAAACTGATATGATAAGTAACACTTTATCATCCTGTATCTTTTAAACATACGTAATTAGGAAAAATATTTATTTAGATTTTCGTCTTATTTTGACTTGCTTAATCTGCTCCTAAATTTATGCCACTAAGTTTAGGGACACCTTGTATATTAAATAAAATTGGCTTTAAAATTTAATTAAAGTTGAAATTCCTTGGGGTTGTTAAATAAAATATTGAGTGCTACTCAAAGAGGCGTGGAGTGCTCCCGTAAATTGTTTTTTTAAGAAAATATAATAATTTTTGTGAATTTAAAAAGTAGACTTGACTGTATAAGAAGTACAAATATTTTTTGTCCAGTGCTATTTGGACCTTGTATAAATAAGTGCAATAACTTAATCATTTTTAACTGGTAAAATTATGATCACATACATTTTTTTGAAAGTTAAAATTCCATTTTTATGTGATCTTATATTTTAATCCATTAAAAATCTGAAAATTATTTTAGTTGGGAAGTTCTAAAAACTGCAACTAAAATCAATATTTTACGTAACTTTAAGTAACCGCCCTTATATTTTTCTTAGCTTCTTGGTGTCCGTTCTGGTGGACGCCAGGGGCGCAGCTATGCGCGGTTGCCGTCACTCGGGCGTCCGGATGATCGTGCCGCCTAGATGCGCCGCCAGTCCAACGCGCATCACCTGCAGATACGTCAGACCGCAGAGGACCCCCCACCCTCCTCCACTGATGGAGGGCGAGGCTTTGGCCAGCAGACTGCTGGAACTCGGGCCCGTTGGTGCCAAATTTTTAGGGTAAGAAATATCCCTACTTTTTAATGTCTATCTTTTAGTTACGTCTGTTTTGTTTTCTACTTGCCATACCAAACTAACCCAAACTTAACAACCCAACCCAACCGACCCCGCCCCATTGGGCCCCTCCCACCCCATTGAGCAATAGAGGTATAATATATCTAAGGGCAGGCTGGATTGTGACAATGGGGCGGGGTCGGTTGGGTTGGGTTGTTAAGTTTGGGTTAGTTTGGTATGGCACAATGCAGTGTACCTGCATAACCAAAATGACAGCTAATCGTCATAACCTTGAGGAATACTTTGCTACATTTAGCCTCTAGTGATATTTGTTGATATTTGTCACTACGCGCATGCGCATTTGACAGGGAATAGGTTTGGGATATAGACGCAAGTAATTAATGGTAACTTACCAAAAGTTGACAGATTTTGTTCAAATTTACCTTCATTACAAAAATGACATAATCAACAATTAATAAAAACGATAAATTAACAATTTGCAATCTTAAGCTACCCTAAGGAACTACCCATTTTAATATATTACATTAATTACATAACACCCTGTATATATCAGATGTGAAAAAAAAAACTTGAAAAAAACCTAGAAAAAAACGGTTTTTTTTCAAAATGAAATTTTGAGTAAAATGAAGAATATATTACATTTTTCATTATTGAAAATTTTGACCAAGACTAAAAAATCTTATTATTTGGTAGTTTCCACATTAAAAACCAATAGCAATGTAAAACTTACAAAAAATTAAAGGATAAAAACTTTTTTTTGCGATTTTTCGGATAACTGTATATTTGTTAAAAATGGTCGTATTGGAGCCGTAAAAAAGCAATTTGAGATTTTTAGATGAAAAACCTGTTACGCTCAATTATAACAAATACCATAATAAAAAAAATCGATTTTTTTTTATTTCTTTTTTGGTCTAAGGAATGTTTTGACCACCAATGAAGAAATAAATGTTCTACAAGAATTTGCTAATGTTTTTTGAAAAAAAAATCCCAAACTCTACATAAATTTTAAAAATCATGAAAAAAGTGCTTTTGGAAGCTTTTTAAAAAATCAAGCGCTGAATCAAAAATATTATATGTAGTTACTTTTTTAGGACCAAATCAAAACAAGCGCGGCCCTTATTGGTCAAATCGGTGGTTATGGCGAGTGCATAACGCGAGACTGTATTTTCATTTAATAATTGTATTTTCATTTAATAATTGTCATTTAGTGGCTAATTTTAGTCCATGAAAACATAAAAAATTATGCAAATGGGACTAATCTTGAAAAAAAATCTAAAATGTGAAAAAACAATTTGAAAAAAACAATGAAAAAAAAACCTGAAAAAAAAAAACAAAAAAAAAACGGACCGTTTTTTTTCAAGTCGCATCTCTATACATGACATTACCAAACAACTACTACATTTTTGTGGTTTTTCACGTACAAACACATAAGTCTTATTATGTAATGGCCCATTACATAGTTTCATGGCTTAATAATGACATTTTTAGTCAAAGCTTTCCTTGTACTGGGCCTGTACAGGAATGTTTTAATAAAAATATTAATTTTGATGGCCCTTTTCAAGCTAATATTTGTATATTTTAGCATAAAAGACCCATGTATGGAAATTTTCAGTATCAAGTTAACGGAACTAAAAAACCATTGAAGTGCCAAATTTTTTCTGTATATAAAACTTCATCAACCTTTAATTATCCTTTGGTTAACGCCATATTTTAAAAATGGCGCCCAGTTAATTCCTACAGTTTTTATAGTGTGTTATACCACATAAAAAATAATAATACCTACTGGTTGTTAAATTTAAATGAGTAAGTAGGTGCATTTTTAATTTTACAAATTTTAGAACTCTTATTACAGTCAAAATACCGCCAAAAAATTAAAATAAGGTCAAAATTGGCGCAACCTGTTATAGAGGACAATTGAATTTATTTGTTAATATATATATATATATATATATATATATATATATATATATATATATATATATATATATATATTAATATTTTCTAGTTAGTTTAAGGATTTTTTGCCTATTAAAGGTGAAAGCTACACAATATGTACAGTTCCATTAGAGTTAGCCTTTATAGGGCCTTTAGTTCATTAAAGACACGTTTATAAAGGGCCATTATAGAACCTTTACGGTTGTGTTTGCTAGGCTAAAGCCTATAGGTTTTTAAATAATTATTAATTATTATAGCCACTTTTTGGATTTGAAGTTTGTGATTTAATACTTTTTTGCAATTTTAGACCTGTAATCCTGGAAGTACCCCATTTCGCATCGCTCCGCGGAAAGCAACGCGAAATAATAGTTTTGCGTTCAGAAAATGGAGAGACATGGAAAGAACACACTCTGGAATCCAACGAGGAAGCCATCCAGGACGTGTTAAACCACAGTTTTGACGGACAAGGTAAAAATAAAACGAAAATATTTACTCAAAATATACATTTTATATAACTTTCGCAGAATTGAATCAAATTGATGACCTGCACACCAACAGAATCACCAGGATACTGACCAGCGATTTCCCCCACTATTTTGCCGTTGTCTCTAGAATCAGACAGGAAGTGCACGCGATTGGTCCGGATGGCGGCACCGTCTCCAGCACTGCAGTTCCATTGGTCCAAGCAGTTTTCCCGTCAAATGCGCTCACCAAGAAAATTAGAGTTGGGTTACAAGTAAGTACATTTTGTTTTAAAACATACGCAAATCAACATCATATACTATAGGAATATTTAATAAAAAATCGATTTTTTGACCCAGCACAAACGTATACCGTATTTTCATGTTTCCTGTAAACAGCACAACGTGACGAAACCGTGACGATTTGTGTCCATTCTGTCCAATTGGACACAAATTGTCATAGTTTCGTCACGTTGTGCTACCTGGGAGGGCACATTCAGTTTTTAAAAGTGGGAGAACAATTTTGAAGTCGGAGACTCGGCCCGAGAGACGGTTTTTGTAATTCAGTAGTAGACCCTTCTCCGGCGATGGGTAATAGTCGATGTTTGCTCTGAATTATTAATATGAATTATTAGTTAAAGGTGTAAAATAATTATTTCTTTTAAATTTAATAAAAGTGTTTTCTTATAAAAAAAGTTTAAGCATAAAAAATTCTCTTTAAAGACTAAATAAAAAAAATAAATAAATCAATTCTCTTAAAACAAAACATAAATTAAAACTTCTTAAAATAAATGTAAATAATTTAATTCGAAACGTTCGTTATTGTTCTAATTGGCAGAATAAACCGATCCGGATATTTAACTGAGAATAGGTCTCTTGTTTGACGTAGAGAATTGCCCACTAAAGACCAGCTTATCATGATAATTTTCTTTTGCAATGTGTAGGACATTATAACTTATAACTTTAAATAAAAGAAATTAATTTATTTTAAAACGCTCGAAATACACCCTGGCAAATGCAAAATATGCACAATATCACTCGAGTGTATATATTTCAAATCAAAATGCCGTATAACCCCTTATGAAGGTTAAAAACATTTTAAAACGAATTTTAATCAAATAGATTTTTAATTGTACAAAGAATCTTAAAAAAATATTTTAAAATATTAAAAACACATTTTAGAATCGCAATCGCAAATATTTAAAAATGTTAAACACAGCTTAGAATGAACTATGGTCCACACCATAGAGAAATCCAGACCTTTATACAAAAAAAATACATACAGCATTATTTTTAAAAAAGGACAAAATTAGCTCGAAACTAAGCTCAATTATTTGCATCAAAGTCGCTTGGTGGGGCTTCAATATTAAGTAATAAAGGACAAAAGATAATTTTTATTGTAAAAAACAATACAAATTATGTTTTGTTCTTTATTACTTAATGTTGCAGATACAGGGGTTTAGCTTAACATGGCAGCATAGTACTTTTATCCACATCAAAATGAACCACTTGACATTTGAATAAGAAATGCAGTCAGATTGGTAAACTCAAATTGAGGTTATGTATTTGTCAGTTTAACGCTATTTTTTTCTTATATTATGAAAATAATACATAAATGTATTTTTTGTATATTGTATATTGTAATATTGTATTATTAAAAAAAAAAGTTAACTTAAAACTGACATACATAAAATTTATTATTTGTATTCAAATATCAAGGTGCGGCTTTTGGGTGTACTATAAAATTGCTTTGTAACATTTTAACCCATAATAAATATTTATACACTTGTTCTACTCCTATTACGGAATATGACCGTTCTAATATCACTTTTATACATCCATGGAATGACATAAATTCCGTAAAGTGTTACAGAATAAAATATTCTATTATCGGATGACAGAACAAACACTGGTGGCGACATCTGTTTTTAATATTTAACAATTAATAGTTATTTGTTTTACAAGTGTTGAAAAGCTACTTTTTCATGCGAGTGTTTAAGTTGCTCACAAGGCCGTTAGGCCGAGTGTGCATTAACACGAGCTTGAAGAAAGATTTTCTCACAAGTATAACAATGTTTTTTCTGCGACCCTTTTATTTTTTATTATTTTTTAATACAAAACAAAATAATCTAAAAACTTTTTTGTCAGCTGAATGTCAAACGATGCTGTCAATTTCTTTTCACACAGAAACGTCACTTTACATTTGTGTTTTGCGTTGCCAATGAAAATATTCATTTTCTAAGCAACGATGGCATCATGAAAAGTGACTTTTACATAGTGGTCGTAGAAAAAAATACTTTCATCTTATTCTTTTAATTTTTAAGGTATAAGTTACTTAAAATCAATAAACTTACCTTCTCAATTTAAATAAAGGCACTAAAAATTGGAATTTATTATACAATTGTGTCCTAAATGATATTTAAACACAAACATATACATACATACAAATACAATACAAATTTTGAAACGAATGTCACGATGCTGTCAATTTCTTTTTATACAGAACTGTCACTTTTCACACAGAAATGTCACTTTACATTCGTGTTTTGCCTTGCCAATGAAAAGATTCATTTTCTAAGCAAAGATGCCAATACAAAATGTGACTTTTACATGGTGGTCGTAGAAAAATTATTTTTCTATGGTATTTTTTGGAAATGTAGAAAAAGTATAGTCTGAAACACGTTTGGAATTGCATATTCCCCTCTCGTGAAACCGTCATACGAGCCGAATGCTTAACTTTTCACTGGAGCTGAATATGCCGTATTCCAAACTTGTTACAGAAAATACTATTAGAATCTTAGAATGTTAAAAACAAGTTTTAAAATATAAAATTCTCTTATTTGGTCAACATTACTTAATTAATAAAGAATGAATGGAATGCCTGAGATGCCAAATTTACCAATTTTTATTGTTTACAGGCTCAGGCAATAGAACCAGAACTGGTGTCGAAGCTTCTCGGTCACGGTGTTGCCGTCTCTCCCATCGTCACAGTGGAGCCCAGGCGCAGGAAGTTCCACAAGGCTATAACTTTGAGCATGCCCGCGCCCAGAGCCCACTCTCAAGGCATGATCAACCAGTACTCTGGATCCGCGCCCACTCTTCGACTATTGTGCTCCATCACGGGTAAGTTTAATTTTTACGTTTCTTCTATTTCAAACGAAAGGTTTATGGATGTTTTATTGTTCTATACTTGATCTTTTGTTAAATAATCACCACTTTAATGTCACTTTAACTAGAATAGGTCATGAGCAGCTTCTCACCACGTAATTTATTAACTATTCAAAAATGGTTTTCAAATGTTTAGTTAAAGTTTTTCTGTAACAAAAACAATTATATGTCTATTTGATACAGGTAAATCCCATTTTTCCCGATAGGCATAAAATTGTAATGTTTTAATTTTCATTTGATAAAATTTCAGGATGTTGATTGTATTTTTGAATGGTACTCATTAAATTTGCTTTCTTAAGGTACTCATAATTTATGCATTCTGTTATTCTATAATAGTGCATACAAATCTAGATAGGTTTTAAATTAGAATTTAATCTAGAATAGATTTAATTGTGGTAAGTCACTTCAATATAATTCATCCATTTATACTTCACATTTTAAAATTGGAAACACTCACCTTGGATTAAGTAGAAGGGGGAAGAAGCGAAAATTCCCATCTTCCCGCTCTTTAATTTAACCTCACAACATGCACAAATTTACTTTTTAAATAGTGTAATAGTATATATTATCAATTATTATTTTAAATGCATTGTTTCAACAATAAAATCGCTACACTATTTAAGAAGTATTTAAATACTGCCAAACATATTTTAACTTTTACACTGATAATAAACTTAAATGTGATAAGCATGTTAGATGTAACTATCAATGTTGTCTTACTGTTGCAAAACTATTATTTTAATATACATGCTTCGATAGGAACTAAATCAGGTAATTTAGTTCCAGTGAAAAAATTAAGAGGATGCTTTTTGATTAAGGTTTTTGTTTAGTTTTATTTTTATTTTCCGTTTTTGCTACAAGTCTATTTTTATTACCCTTAGATAAGTTTAATTACAATTTTTTGTGCAAGAACTTAAATTGTTAAGTGTTGGCACGACATTTTTTATCAAGATCCTTCTGTGATATTATGCACTTTTTATTAGCAATGTTAAGAAATAATAAGAATTAAATGGTAAGGTAAAACTTTAGAGAAATTGAGAATTTTTTAAAAGTATTTATCCACTATATGATATATGACTTGCAACATTTAAACTTTTTTACATTTTTTATAAATTATTTAGGTCCTCTTAATTTTTTTTAATAGTGGAGAAATGCTTTTCTAGATGTTTTAATACAAAGAACATGGTTTGGAAAAGTTAAACGGGTAGTGTTTTTTCATAAATTATTTATTAAAGAACTGTTTTAACTTTTTTTGATGAAAATTGCTATAAGGGCCAATCCCAGGGCTGGATGCTCCCGTGAACGAGTTCGTGCCGCGCATGACGTCACTTGATGAGTAGTTACCGTGCGAATACACGAATAATAGTTATATTATTAAAGAAAATAGAGAAATATCTGGAAATAGTGCGTTTTTATTAAACTTAATATTGAAGAAAGTGTTATAATATGGATAATAGATGCTTTCAGCAGAGACAAGGGCTTTCAGTCCTTGATAACATTTAGGGCTTTAGTTTAAGAGTTGGTGTTTTAAATTAAACTTATAGTCACTGTCCAGAAATTGTTTAGTGGAAACAAAAGCGGTCTTAAACAGTAAACACTAAAACTGCGTTTTTTTCATGATAATAAAGTTTTTGTTCATATAAGTTAATATAAAAAAATAGTATAAAAAATTACGTATTTAACTCAAACAAAATGTCAATAAAAACTTGTATAGAAACCCTTTTATAACGTCATGAAAAGCGTAACGGGGCCGACCTTAGAAAATCGACAAATGCAACCAAGTTGGCTTCTAAAGTTGATACTGTAAAATTTTGGATGAAAGCATATAGAGTCATTCCAAATAAAAACACCAAATGGGGTGCGCTGCGTGATTTTTTATTTTGATGAAAAAATTTGAGGATGATCTTTTAGGTGTCAAATATCAAAATCCGTTGCCGTTTTAATTTTTTGTTGCTTTACTTTTATTTGGCACCCCTTAGAAGTCTGAAATATTGTCAATTTCTTACTCTCTTATAGTGGGCCAGAACTTTTTTTCTGTGACAAATATTGATTTTAATTTTGTTTTACTGTCCAGTAAGTGTGTTTTCGATATAAATTATTATTATCCAATTAGTTAATCTCATAAAAGAATGGTAAACCACTAAAGATTCATGATAATTTGCCAATTTTTGTGATTTTTGTCTGGCTCCTGTGCCTATTCTACTGTATTTAGAAGGTTCATTTTTTTCAGGTATAAAGTACTTATACAATAGAAAGCGTAACTATTATTTTAAGTTTCTAGACTATCAATTTCTTTATTAAAAAAATTATTGAAAATTGATAATTCTCAAAATTAGCCAATTTTGCCCTCAGAAATCATTATGTTGAGGAAAAAATAAAAATCTGAAAGTTTCAGGAAATGTAGTCCCCACCTTCATCTTTTCAGTCCAGTTAGTCTTGTTTTGTTATTTTTATTCCTTTAAAAGATATATTAATTTTTTTAATGGCCGTTTAGTAGCGATATTGTTAGTTTTATTTATAATTTAAAATTTAGATGGCTTTCATGTTTGGTGGAGAAGTATCAGAACTGTCAAAAATATTTCATAAATATTATTTGTGCGTATTTTTTGGTAAATTTTGTATATAACATAATATGTCATAATAATATTATTATGTTATATATAAAACTTTTTAAAATCACCAAAGGAATACCACAAATAATAATTATGAAATATTTTTAACAGTTCTGATATTTTTGGTAGTTATGTTATATTTTATGTATTGAAAAATCATATATATATGTATATATATGATTATATATTATATACATTATAATTAAGTATTTAATTGGCTAATTGGTGTTTAAAAAATAAGAATGAAAAAAATATATTCAAGATCCTTATGGTTTATATCGTTAAGTATAATAAGTGAAATTAATAAAGAGTTAATTTAAGCGTATAAAAAATGCGTTAAGCAATTTTTTGTCGGTTTCTTTCACAATTTAAACCAAGTTAGTCTTGTTCTATTATTTTGATCCCTTTAGTAAATCACTAAATAGTTAAAAGTTAAATGTATGTATTTTAAATGTTAGTGTTGGAAAAAGTTTACACAATCTGTAAAAACTTCTTTAAATTTTAGTTTTAAGTTAATTGGTTAAAATAAAACATGTTATAATAAAGGGGTTTATTTAGAATATTTTTTGGTTTTTGCTTATATTTAACAATTTAAAACTTCTCAGAACTAAAATATTTTCTATAAGAAAGAGGTACAAAATTGTGATATGTTCTTGCATTTTTAATTGCAATTAAATTCATGAATCTCGAACACTCCGTCATTTATTACACTTGCAAACTTGCAAACTTTTTGAAATCACAATTTAAATACGCACAAATAAAATTTATGGAATATTTTTGACAGTTCTGACATTTCTCTACCAAACATGAATTGACAAAGTCAAAGCCGTCTATATTTTAAATTATAAATAAAACTAACAATATCGCTACTAAACGGGCATTAAAAATTTAATATATCTTTTGAAGGAATAAAAATAACAAAACAAGACTAACTGGACTGAAAAGATGAAGGTGGGGACTACATTTCCTGAAACTTTCAGATTTTTATTTTTTCCTCAACATAATGATTTCTGAGGGCAAAATTGGCTAATTTTGAGAATTATCAATTTTCAATAATTTTTTTAATAAAGAAATTGATAGTCTAGAAACTTAAAATAATAGTTACGTTTTCTATTGTATAAGTACTTTATACCTGAAAAAAATGAACCTTCTAAATTCAGTAGAATAAGCACAGGATCCAGACAAAAATCACAAAAATTGGCAAATTATCATGAATCTTTAGTGGTTTACCATTCTTTTATGAGATTAACTAATTGGTTAATAATAATTTATATCGAAAACACACTTACAGGACAGTAAAACAAAATTAAAATTATTTCAATATTTGTCACAGAAAAAAAGTTCTGGCCCACTATAAGAGAGTAAGAAATTGACACTATTTCAGACTTCTAAGGGGTGCCAAATAAAAGTAAAGCAACAAAAAATTAAAATGGCAACGGATTTTCATATTTGACAACTAAAAGATCATCCTCAAATTTTTTCATTACAATAAAAAATCATGCAGCGCACTTTTAAATTCATTTTTGGTGTTTTCATTTGGATTGACTCTATAGTAATAATTTATTGTGTAAAACTTGAATAGTAACCTTAAACAAGCACGTATTTTAAATAATACAAATATTGTATACTTATTCTCTAAAATTTTCTCAAAATTCAACATTTTATCGAGTATTGGAACTCTAGCTTCTTAGCATCACAATATACGAATTTTTTAAGGTTATAAATTACATCGTAATTAAACTATTTGACTTCAGATACAGTTGTTATTTTGTTAAATAACACATCTGATTTTTTGTAAAGGTGGGGTAAGGTTTCGTGGAAATACCCAATAGTTACTTTTGCAAACAAGTTTATTATGCTTGTAATAATTAAGCTTAAGCTTACACGGTGTGCCTGAACGAAGTTTAAGTCACATAAAAATACCGCCAAAAACTGATTGCAGTTTCTTGTTCGGGACCCTTTGGTGACTTAAAAATGATATTTACCAAAATCTTGTCTGCTCCTCTTTTCGAAATTTTTTAAAAAGTTATGATTTTTTTTAAATTTTTGTTTATCTTAAAGTGTACCTTTGATAGAGTACACATTTGTACACCGAATTTTATAATATTGGAGTATATTGTTAAGGAGATTTGGAGAATACTTTTTCATACTCTGCACATCATTTAATATATACAGGGTTAGCCAAAAATCGCTTCTTTTAATAAAGCAAAAGCGTAAACTCATGATTTTGGCATAACACGCAAAAAAGATATATGTTTTTTTGGATATTTTTATGTTTATCAGGCTACAAAATGGGATTCTTATTAAGGCTTTATAAGAAAAATTGAATTTGAATAAAATTAAATAAAATAACATTTTTTGGAGATAAATCTTTTTTGTGCATTATGCTTTTTACTATATAAAAAAGTGACCCTGTATAAATCTAATGATGTGCTCAGTATGAAAACAATTGTTAACAATATACTCCAATATTATAAAAATCGGTGTACAAATGTGTACTCTGTCAAAGGTAAGATTAACAAAAATTAAAAAAAAAATAAGAATTTTCAAAAAATTTCGAAAATAGGAGCAGCTAGGATTTTGGTAAATATCATTTTAAAGTTACCAAAGGGTCCCGAACAAGAAACCAATATAAACCAATAAAAATTGGTGTACAAATGTGTACTCTGGCAAAGGTAGACTTTGCGATAAACAAATAATTAATAAAAAAATGTTTTTTTAACAAATTAAAAAAAGCAGTTAAATCTTTGGTAAATATCGTTTTTAAATCTCCAAAGGGTGCCGATCAAAAAACTTTAACCAGTTTTTCGTTCAAAATTGAAAACTACTAAAAAGCCTAAATTAAACAACATTTTAAATATTCTCTAAGTGATATTTTATTTAATTTTATTAAAAATCTATTTTTTTATAAAAGGTTAATAAGAATGCCATTTTGTAACCTGATAAACATAGAAATATCTAAAAAAAAATGGGGATAAATCTTTTTTGCGTGTTATGCCAAAATCATGAATTTACGCTTTTGCTTTATTAAAAATAAGCGATTTTTGGCTCACCCTGTATATATCAAATGATGTGAACAGTATTAAAAAGTATTCTTTAAGTTTCCTTAATAATATAGTCTAATTTTATAAAAATCGGTGTACAAATGTGTACTCTGTCAAAGGTAGACTTTGAAATAAACAAAAATTTAAAAAAAAATCATGAATTTTCAAAAAAATTCGAAAAGAGGAGCAGCTCTTTTTAAGTCACCAAAGGGTCCCGAACAAGAAACTGCAATCAGTTTTTGGCGGCATTTTTATGTGACTTAAACTTCGTTCAGGCACACCGTGCTTATAAGCATTATAATTATGGTAGTTTTTTTTTAACAGTTTTAAATTTAATATTTTATTAAACCGCTTGGTGCCTAAGTTAAACATGAAATATAAAGGTTTCAAACCATGTTCTTTGTTTATCTCATTTAAATTTTTTATGATTTTTAAAACAGTATGGTTGCCAGGTTGCTAGAGGTAACTTTTTTAAGAAAGTCAACGTAAGCAAGACTGATTTAGGAATGTTAACTAAATATAAAGATTTTTTTACGGTAGCAATCATAAAAAATGTAGAACATTTATAGACGCATTAATGCGAAATCGAGAGACCTGGCAACCCTACGAAACAAAGTGTTTTTATTTTGATTTGCATTTTAAATTATCCGACCCCTAAACCAAAATATCGCATTTTAACAATATTTGTCGCTAGGCGGTCAAAATAAGGCCGTTTGGGAGGACGTGACAGGCTCGACACCGCTCACTTTCGTCCGCGACTGCGTCTCCTTCACCACGACGGTGTCGGCACGTTTCTGGCTCATGGATTGCCGTAACGTGTCGGACGCGGCCAAAATGGCGACGGAGCTGTACACGCAGTCGACGCACGTGCCCTTCATGGCCAAGTTCGTCGTTTTCGCCAAGCGGGTGAGCAACTTGGAGGCGAGGGTCAGGGTTTTCTGCATGACAGATGACAAGGAAGACAAGACTTTGGAGCATCAGGAGCATTTTACCGAGATTGCCAAGAGCAGGGATATAGAGGTATAGTATAGTATAGTAAGTTTTCGACATGCGCAGTTGCCAAGAAACGCGGACTTAGGGAATATAAAAAAAGACAAAAAAAGTTAAACAAACAAAAGTAGTTTCCGCCCCATATAACATCTCTAGGCACTTTTTACTAGAACTTTAAGTATGTCATATTACAGAAAAACCTCAAGGAATCAAAATTGTTTTTATTTTTGTAATATCTTTTTGTTTTTAAGTTAGGGCCCGTCAAAGTTGTTGTACGAGCCCTAACCACATAATGTTCGGACACTTCATAATTTATACAGAAATTTTTTTCGTGAATACTATCTCAAAATTATTAGAAGTTATGAAAAATTCAGCTTATTTTGGCATATACCCCTCGAAGCGATTTTTATTTTTAAAAAGTTTACCTTTTATTTTTAGCTTTTAAAAAAAGGCTAACTTTTTAACTTTTTTTTGTATGAGTAAAAAAAGTTATAAATGGACCCATTAAAAAGAGCATAAAATATTATACAAACCCTGAAAATTTGGTAAAAAATAAATAAGTTATAAAAAAGTATAAGTAATTTAAAAATGCTATTTTTTGCAATTTTCTTAGGAAACGGGAGATTTTGCAGATATATATATCGCTATAACTTTCTTATTATTTATACAATTTTTACCAAATTTTCAGGGTTTGTATAATATTTTATGTTCTTTTTAATGGGCCCATTTATAACTTTTTTTACTCATGCAAAAAAAAGTTAAAAAGTTAGCCTTTTTTTAAAAGCTAAAAATAAAAGGTAAACTTTTTAAAAATAAAAATCGCTTCGAGGGGTATATGCCAAAATAAGCTGAATTTTTCATAACTTCTAATAATTTTGAGATAGTATTCACGAAAAAAAATTCTGTATTAATTATGAAGTGTCCGAACATTATGTGGTTAGGGCTCGTATTTATAAATTTTAATGGATTTTTAATTTCAGTAAAATATATATTAAGCTAATCAATTAAGTTTAACAATTAAATTAAAAAGAATTTAAATTAAAAAATATATAAATAATTGCAAATAGTTTACCCAAAAAGCTGTAAAACTCAAAAACACCACCAAACAAGAGGCGGAAACATATGAAATTAAATATAATTCTCTAAAGAAAGTTGTTTCAAAGAGTTATAACACAGAAAATTTTTAGCATAATCTGTCGTTTTTTTATTGGCGATTTTATAAACACTTAATCTCCATATTTCATGCAAATATACCTGCCTTACAATACTTTACTTTACTTAACAATTGAATTTATATTAATATTAAGATATTTGGTATTCTACAATTTTTTTTTAAATCTCTATTTATTGTGCGATTTTACCCGGATTTGTCAAAACTAAGCATAAAAATATTTATACCATGTTACTATTACTTTTATTTCAATGTTTTTTTTTATGGATAACTTGACAGAATAAATTTTTGTAAATTATTGTTCATTTTTAATTTAGTTACAAAATCGTTTCTAATTAAAAAATGATAATACAATTTAGTATGGGGTCTTTTTGAGGGGTGGTGAATCCCCGGTGAAGTGCCGTTTATAGATTTTTTTTAATTGCTTATATGAATTCTTAAAAATTTATCAAGATCTACACTTTAAAACAAATCCGGTTAAAATTGCACAATAAATAAATATTTTACAGAGGCGAGTCGCAAAGAAATGGGTCATAATGTATCAATAGATAATGTAAAGACTATTGGATAATATTACTTGTATAAAAGTTATATAATATAATTGTAGAAAATTTCAATAAAACTCATAATTTGTTATAGGATTTTGAAAATAATCCCTTTATTAAAAATAAATAAAATATAATATTAATATATGCGTACATATACAGGGTGTCCCAGAACTCGCGCCACATAGAAAACCGGAACGTGCCGAAAGTAACGTGAAACACATATTTAAAAATTAAAATTGTCTAACGCAAAGGATAAGCGAGATAAGAATAAAAAACGATAGCCAATCCCAATAGATGGCCATAGGGAATTCTTTAAATTGCTAGGATACTTGGGTTGCATTGTTGATAATAAAAAATATGTCAAATATTTGGTCTACTGGAATCCAATTCATTGTGACACTGCTGTCAAACTCCTGTCATTAATATTATATTAGGTTATAAATTAAGTTATTATATAATAATGTTTTCCTTAGATGATTATACTGAAATGATAATTATTTATTTATTTAGTGTGGGCGCAACGCCAGGGAGACAACGCGAGTTTTTTCCCAGCCCTTCAGGGCTCCCAGCAGGTAGTTTTTTTAAAGACTTGTCTATATTTTTGTCTTAAGTCTATAAAAGTCTATTTTTTTACCTAAAGTCTATAAAGTCTATATTTTCTGTTAAAATCAACTATTAAAAAATATTTTTTTAAATATAAATATTCACAGTTTTATAAATATCGAAACCACAGTAAACCAAGTGAAAAATTCGAAAACTTCGCAGTTTACATTTAAAGTTCCCGCCGTCCAGACCCGAACCGCCCGCCAAAATTATTGCTGAATTGTTTCTGGTTTGGTCTAGGGTTTCGTTTACGTTTATAGTTTCGGTTCGCTAGGTTAACACTAGCTATATATGCATTTTTCATGAAATTAGTAACTACCTAGTATCTATCAAAGAACATGTGACAAAGAATGTGTTCCTATTCTATGTTTTATCATCCATTCCATAACCCTAAAAAATTATGTTCAGACGATAGCAAAGAATATATTTGACCATTTTAATGCAAAAATAATATATAATAAATTACCTACAATTTTTTTTATCAAAACAGTTTTGTGATTTGTCCTGTCCATCCGCTTGAAATGGCCGAGTTATGGTTACTTGTTAAATTTAATTCAATAAAAATTTATAATTTCAAGTTATCTCTATGTATTTTAAATTCAAATTTAGATGTAAAAATGTCAATGTACCTAAGACCCACACACCTAAAAGAAATAATTGGAATAATAGACAACCTGAAATCAAATGCTTCGTCTGGCCATGACAAGATAAAACCTAACTTAATAAAAAAACTTAAACATGTCATTGCCCCAGTATTACTCCAACTAATAAATACGCAAATGAAAAAAGGGACGTTTCCAGATGAACTCAAAATAGCAAGAATCACACCGATATACAAGTCAGCAGACAAAACTGAACCTGGAAATTATAGACCAATTGCAAATCTAACAGTATTCAGCAAGATTTTTGAAAAAGTACTACATAAAAGGTTATCAGAACACATACATAATACAGATATTCTAACAGCTAGCCAACACGGATTTCAAACACATAAAGGAACAACAACAGCAATAAGCAACTTAATGAACTACATTCTAACACAACTTGACAACAAACTAACGGTAACTGGTTTAGTACTAGATTACAAAAAGGCATTTGACACAGTGAACCTTGACTTATTAATTTCAAAAATGAAAAATATGGGAGTAACTGGAAATTCTCTAAACATGTTCCAATCATATCTAACAAATCGACGCCAGTTTACAGTGGTAGGGGACCAATGCAGCACAATAGAGGAAATCAAATATGGTGTTCCTCAGGGGTCAATTCTGGGACCCTACATGTACTTACTTTATATTAATGATCTTAGCCTATATAAAATACATGGTAAAATGCTTATGTATGCAGATGACTTGGCAATTTTTTACAAGAACGAAAACAACAAAGACACAGAAAGTAAAATTAAACAAGACTTAAATACACTAAAAAAATGGACCAATTCTAATCAACTTACCCTAAATCATAAAAAATGTCACTTCATAAACTTTGAATCCAGAACAAGAGAACATCAAATTAACATCAAAATCAAGGAGCCACTAAAGGAAGTTAAAACAATCAAATACCTGGGACTACACATTGACAATAAACTAAACTGGAAGCAACACATACATAAACTAAATGAATCTCTCTCTTCATACATATACCTAATGAACAAAATAGCAAACACACTTCCTCTTAAACAAAGAATCTTAGTCTATGATTCCTATATTAAGAGTCAATTGGCATACCTCATACCTTTTTGGGCAACAGCAAACGAAACCGCTAAAAAATCGTTGCAGCGAAATCAAAATAAAATATTAAAGATTATGCACAAATTGGACAAATACATGCCTACTGAACAACTTTATAAGATCACCAAACAGCTAAATATCGAAGAGCTTAGACAACTAGAAACCCATAAATTAGTGCACAAGATCATAACAAATAAGATACTGGATGAAGAAGTAACATTTAGAAAAAGAGCGGACACACATGAACATAATACAAGAGGACGTGAACAAATAGACATAGAAAGAGCCAAAACAAAATATGGAGAAATGAAAATAAAACATCAAGGGTACAAACTATACAACAAATTACCAGAGAATATAAAAAACCTACCCGAGACGACTTTCAAAACCAACTTGAAGACTTTTATTTTGCACCAAAGAATATCTACTTAATATATTTACTTATTTATTATTTATCATATAAATCCAATATTATACATACTTATTTATTTATTATATTTATACTTATCTGATATTATCGCTACTGTGATATTTAGGATGTACTTTTTTAAATAAAAAAAAAAAAAAAAAAAAAAAAAAGATCTTTTATCCCAAAAAAATGGATACCTCCATTTTATAGATATTTCGGTAATTAATTTGGTCTATATTTGGTCGTTTATTTTTTATTATTAGTCTCTTAAGTCACTATTTCTCGCAACATGGACTGCTGGGAGCCCTGCAGCCCTTTCCTAATCGTTATTTTAAAACATTGGCGTTCTGAAGTATAAGTCATAGATTAATAACCTCATTTTTGAAAGCTTTTGACAACTTAGTAAATACAGTTGGCCAAAAGATTTTTAAATGTTTTTAATACAACAATGTTCCATCGTCTCCTAGCAATTTTTAAAGCTCTTACGTTTAACCTAGGCGAGAGCTCTCGGTATTGGCTGCCGCTTTTTTGCTCTCATTCGGTTACACTATTACCTAGAAATTTTTTATTTTTAAATTTGGCATGTCCATTGCTATCGGCACGCCCCCTTTTTCTCTGTGGCGCGAGTTCTGGGACACCCTGTATAAATAACATATATATTAGGGTGATTAAAAAAAATTGAATATTTCTTTGGTTCCGACACTGAAAAATTGCTTCTCAGGCACCTCTAGTAAGTTCTCACCAAATTTGAGCCATTAATATTAATAGAAAGATCCTCTTCATTAAAGTTTTCCATTTTTTATTAGTCCCTTATAAAAAAGACCATTTTTCATTATTAATCAATCATTTAATCTATTAATAGAATTCTTTATACATATTTTTGTAGGAAATTGAATGCTCTACAGCTCTAACCATTTAAAAGACATTCAAGATGAAAGTTTGAAGAATTTTTAATTTTTTTAATAATTTTGTAACTTATTGAAAAATAATTGTATAATGAGTATAACTAACTTATTTTTGTAGAAAATTTAACACTACAATAAATTCTTTTAGCTTTAATCTTGTATATCTTTAAAATTTTAAATGGCTAGAGTAATCAATTAAACACATCAGTCCTTTTTTTGTAGAGCATTTAATTTTCTACAAAAATATGTATAAAGATTTAATTAAACGATTGATTAATAATGAAATATGGTATTTTTTAGAAGCGACTAAAGAAAAAATGGAAAACTGTGATAAGGATAATATAAATATTAAGAGCACAAATTTGGTGAACACTTTCTAGAGGTGCCTAAGAACCAATTTTTATAATAATTGTAATAATAAAATATGTAATTAAATTATCGTTTGTTTACACGCCTTTAAAATTATTTAAGTTTAATAGTTTTTTTGTACATTTGATAACATCGTTTGTTAACGCTCCTTTAAAATTTTTAAAGGTTTTTATTATCTTTATCTCTAATATATTTTTATTTATTATTACTCATTTCACACTCCGGCAATAGCTGCCATAATGCCGTTAAAGAGAAATTATTGTATTCCCCCTTTTTTACACTAGAGGTACAGGCTTATATATGCATAAAAATGTGATCAAAATTGCATGCGAATATCATTTGTAGTTTTCATTTAAATTAATTTTGGCCTGAATTGGGCTTTACAGTCCAGTGTGCTGCCTGAAAGGCAAACAAAGAAACACACTTGTTATGTCAGGATTAAAATTATTAAATTTGTTTTAACTAGGTACTTGAAGGCAAATACGTCTTCATGGAATTCGCTGGCAATTTGGTACCAGTACTTTCGTCTGGTGACCAACCTAGACTTGGATTTAAAGCATTCAAAGAAAATCGACTAGCTTTTACCATGAGACTTAGGGATCAGGTATGTTATTTTAAATCTAACTTGTTGAAGACAAAAAACTCACACATTGTGACATTTAAGGACGAAGACGCAGTTGGCAGGATCGTATTCATGAACGACGCCAAAGTGGCTCGCGGAGAACCCAACCAAGTCCCACTGTGCACTCTCAACCTGGTTTTACCCACCGACGTGCTCCCTGGCAGGGATTCCCAGTCGGATTTGCTGGCAATCGACAAGGATTACAGCTATCTATCCCACGGCGGAATCAGCAAACCCGACACCATCCACAGAGCGGATATCCGAGTATCCGACATATCCAACCTACTTGACGACGATTGGGAGAGATTGGCGCTCGAATTGGACATTGCGCCCTCCGAAATCAAGCTGATCAAGGAAGAATATCCGGAGAGCAAGCCGCAGCAGGCCACGGTGATGCTGAAATTATGGCTGAAAACGAAAGAGGACAAGGCGACCGGTAATCAGTTGGAGTTGGCTTTGAACAAAATTGGCAGGCCCGATATCGTCAAAAAATGTATTTGCAACGTGGAGTTGGTCACTGACGATATGGAGAAGGCCATGGCGAAAATTCATTTGGAGGATAAGTCAGGTTTTGATTATCTCAAGGATGAGTTGGGGCCAAGTAGAGATACTTCATTGAGAAGGGACGAGAAGATTGACATTTCTTATAAGAGTAGTCAGGATGAGCTTTCCATGAGTGAGAAGAATGGTAAGTTGCGTTTTTATTATTCTAACGTGTATTTGTGAGAAGAAATAACGGTTTTTATCATTTCGCTAATTGGTCTACAACAGCGATATTGTTTATTTTTTGCTGAAACATGAAAATTCCATAGTTTGTTGGAATAAAAAAATAAAAAATCTATTCATTTAAATTTTAAGGAGTTCCTCAACGAGTTTAAATATTTCCCATTAAAATAACACAGAAAAATGATTTTGTTAATTATTTCTTCTTGCATCTATGTATAAATTTGTTTCTTCATATAAATTAATGTTTGAGCAGCATTAAATTCCACACAAAAAGTGTTTAATATTTAAGTTTTTATCGCTAAACTACATTAAAAATTTCTTTTTAAATTGCGCGTTTTAGTTTTGGAAACCATTGATGATCTACAAAATTGTACCTTAAAATCATTAAAAATTTAAAAGTTGTATACTTGTATAGTCCTAAACCTAGACCCCTTTATTTATTTTGAGATTTTAATCGGATTTGTTTTAAAGTGTAGATCTTGATAAACTGTATTTTTGGAAGAAAAAACACCAAATTAGTACAAAATACAAGGCCTACTATGTCATTTTTTAAGAATTCATATTAGCGATTTTTTTAAACAAAATCTAAGCAAGGCACTGAATTCACCACCACTTTACTAAATTTTATTGAAAAATTTTAAGTAGAAAAAACTACAAAAATTTTTTGTCAACTTATCCATGTAAAAATATTGAAATAAAATATAACTAATAGTAACATGGTACTATTACTATAAGTTTAATTTTATTTCATGGATAACTTGACAAAATAAATTTTAGTAGTTGTTATTGTGCATTTTACTACTTAAAATTTTTCAATAAAATTTAGTATAGGGTCGTTTTGAGGGGTGGTGAATCCAGTGCCGTACTTAGATTTTGTTTAAAAAAATCGCTAATATGAATTCTTAAAAATTTACTCTTAAAACTGATATAGTAGGCCTTGTATTTTGTAAAAATATGGCATTTTTTGTTTATCAAGTTCTACACTTTAAAACAAATTCGGTTAAAATCGCAAAATAAGTAAAGCTTTTACAGGGGTGAGTCACAAACAAATGGGTCACACTGTACATATATAATATTGTTTGATTTTTTTTAATACCTTTTTTGAGATAAGGTTGATATTTCGATTACTAGATCACAGAAATAGATTTCTGTGTCCTAAAGGAAAAAAAAGAGTAGTCACCGAGCAAACACAACTGTAGAGGTTTTATAATGGCCCTTTGAAAAAGTGCCTATAATGATTTCCAAAATTGTACCTTAAAATCAGTATATAATATGTCATTTTTATAACTTTTTAATCACTGTAGTATGTTTTGAATATTTTATTTTTTTGATACAATTTTTTGTAAAAAAGGTTCATATTGCTATAAATAAATTTCTAAACCCACCACATTTAATCCACCATAATCAATTATTTACATTATTATAACATTGATTAATAATCTTCAATCAAAGATTATAATACCTATATTATTGTGAAATGTAACACAGTTCAACACGATTTTTCCCCCATAAATTTTTTTAACAGATTTTGAAAATAGAGGTTTAAAAAACGTACCTTGTTTCACCGTTTCACGAAATCACGTCATTAAAATTTTGTATACAGCCATTCTTAATAATAATAATAATAATAATTTATTATTTTAACATATTATTAATTATTAATATACAAGGTGTCCCTAAAAATAGTGGCATAAATTTAGGAGCAGATTAAGCAAGTCAAAACAAGACGAAAATCTAAATAAATATTTTTCCTAATTACGTATGTTTAAAAGTTACAGGGTGATAAAGTGTTACTTATCATATCAGTTTTTTAATATAACTTCTACTATGGTAGACTTGGAAAGGTGATATTTTGCGAACAGTCACTTACTACCAAAACACATATTCACACATAATTACAATTGTTTGAGTGAACACAGTGTCGTAGAAACGGGGGTTAAGCCTATTGTCCCATACAAACTTTGAGGTTATGTTTTTGTAACATTTGATGCAATTTATCGATTAAACAGTTCGGCTACCATTAAAAAGGTGTACCTCTCAAACTTCGATAAAATAAACCGTTTCCGAGATATTTGAGATTACAATAATTGTTTTATCGCATTAAAGGACTAAAAGTTATATGATAAAAAAAAATTTAATTGAAATTAAAAAAAAAAACACTATTTTATTGGATCGCACTAAAAAAAAAAAGTACGTGATCTGAAAAAACGCCGAGAAACGGTTTTTAAGTCTATTTTCAAAATCTAGAAACTTTTTATGGGAGTAAAAAAAATCAAATTTTGTCGTACTGTGCAATACTAAGCATTCATAAATTTAAAAAAAATACAAAGCATGATAAGCATACAATGTGTTCTTATAAAAACCTGTATAAGTATATTTTAATTTCACATTCTCTCAATTTAAAACAAGATTGGTTCAAATCACAGTGAATAATGGCTATGTTAGCAAGCCAGTTATATTTTACCATTTAAACCCAAATAATGTAAATATTATGCAATAGAAGTATTTTACGAAGCGAAATATTAGCGATATAATGCTTCTAAAGGAACAGATTTTTAAGGTTTAAATAGATTTTGTATAAATTAAAAAATATTTTATATATTGTATGGAAAATCACCCCCCTCCAAAGTACTGAAAACTAAAATCGAATTAAGAAAAAACAATAATTATAAAATAACACTACATTTATAATAAAAAAAAAACCTACAAATGTAGTTTCAAATTATCTAATTTACTTAGGTCTCTATCTGAAGTGCTGAATCCTAGTTTTTAGGTAAAAATTAATTCCCCCCCAAGAATTGTTTTTGGATCTGCCCCTGTTTAATATGAATCGTGAAATTTATAAAGGATTTTGTAATTTTTTACAAATCTTCATCAATATTTTTGTGAATAGTATAAATATAATTCAGTTGATTTTATGTATTCACGTCTTTTTTAGATGATTTCCAGAACGAAAACGTGGGTAAAGACACGATCGACAAAATCGACAATAAAAAATCCAAAACGACCGTAAAAATAGAACAACTGGATAACATTCCGAGAAACGAAAACGCAAACGAAGAAGCCCTCGAAGAAATCACCAAGCAGTTCAACAATCTTCAAGCGGCACCCAATAAAATAATCGACACCAACGGAAACACCCCGCCACCAAGCCCTGCTGATTTTAATACCAAAGAAAATAATTTCGAATCAGGTATGTGAGAAATGTAGACTTGCTGCTTCTTATTTTAAGTTGTTAATAATAATTATACATATTACTTAAGATTATTTTGTTGAATTATTATTTTGTTGTAACAAAATTGTCTGAAGTTTATATTTCGTTAATAAATAACAAACATAGTCATGCCCATTTTAATATTCCGCTTAACTTAACCCACCACACTGCACTTGGTTTCGGTCTTTTCGGCACTGTTTTTCATATTATTTGCTATCACGTATCCTAAAAGTAGCACTTAGAGTATAGGAGTCTCTTTCAGTATCTAGTAGTATTTTTTTGTGTTTATCCCGTCAAGGAAAACCGCAGGATATTTTTACGTCGACGCCTGCGAAAAAATCGGCCGCCTACCCGATCGAGGTGTCTTTTCCGGACACCATTGCAGTCCTCAAGCAGAACGTCAGCGATACTTTGACGTTTCTGCACCAGGAGAGGAACGATTTTTTGCCGGAAGACGATATCATAATACCCAGCAGGAAAGATGATCACATTTCCAAGAAGATCAACTTGGAAAGTATCAACAATAAGCATCCTAAAAAACAGACGTCCGATTTGGATGTGTCCATGGATTTGGATACGAGCACCGTAAAAGATATCGCGGAAAGTGAGGTGGAGCAAGTCATTGAAAAGGCTGAGAATGTCGCGAATGAAATGTACAATAAGAAGATTAGGCTTGGGGATAATGATAATGAAAAAATGGATAGTATTAAAGATTTATCCGATAGTCTACTGGATGATGCCAGAAACGCTACCGAAGATTCGCTGGATAACCTGGAGAGTTTAAAGGACGATTCTATATCCGTGATCCAGGAAAAAAGCGATGAGGCTTTTAAGTTCTTAGAACAAGAAGCTTCAAGTCCTCTGGTTATACCTTTGGAAGACTCAATTACGTTTGTACAAAAAGAGTTGGACTCCATTTTAACGTCAGATGATTCGTTTACCAAGACGGTTTCATTCTCGGAGTCGCCTGGAAAGAGTTCGAAGAGTTCCATACCTGTAGCCAAAACCAGATCCAAATTAGAGTCGGAAAAGGATATCGATTTTTTGTTTGACGAGCTGCAGCGTGATTCCGTATCGCCCGAAGCCGAACTGTTGAGTAAAATACCCGTGGTCAAAGGTGGCAAAATTAAAACCATAAAGAAGCATTCTAAAGATCCGTTGAAGGAGTTCGTAACGTTGTCGAAGGACGTGAATTGGGACGACGAGGACGTTTCGAGTAAAATGACCGCCGACCCGATCGTCAAAACGACGGTGACGAGAATCACGACGGAGAACAAGAGCAAAATCCCCAAACTGAACGCGGTCGAGCCGGACTTTGAAGTGTCGCCGAAGAGCAAGATCCCCGTGCTGAAGACCGAAACGACGCGGATCGCGTCGCCGGAGTCGCAACTCGTGTCGCCGGACTCGCGGCCGTCGACCCTCGACTCGGACTCTGACGAGGACAGCCGACGCAGCCCGATGCCCAAGGGCATCCTCAAGAAGGCGGTCGCGCGCACGGTGGGCAGCTCGAGCGGATCGGACGTCGCTCTTCACGAGGAGGGCGCCGAGCTCAGCGAGGACGATTCAGGTATGTCTCGATTTTCGCAGCAGGCTTGCACTTTGTTCGTTCTCTCATGAGTAGCTTGTAGTGAAGCTGTTATGTTGTAGTTTTTTTTTCGTTTAGTACGGGGTGATTTAATGTAGTCTGTGTGTGTGTACCTGTTTACACTTTTTTATATAGATTAGTTAGTTAAATTAAAAACAACTTAACTTTTGATAAAACAAACTGTCTTAAAATATAACAACCATGTTATTAGTGATATCATTGTTGCAACTTTTACAAACTATATGAGGAGTAGGGTGATTCATTTCCGCAAAGTTTTTGTTTTCTTCGGTGCTCAAGCAAAATATTAATCTGCATATAGAAAAAAAAAATTCTCAACAAGTTTGAGCTCTTAATATAAATTTTAAGTACTTACTATCTAAATTTAAAGTTTTACTGTTTAAAATGCATGTAAAAATATATTTTTTTTTTCAAATTTCTAATGCTTACCCAACTTTGACAATATTGCAAATCGGTTTAATACACCTTATGGGGAATTTCACGCTCTTTAAAATTGCTTTTGAGTTTTTTTTTGTAACTCGCATTGGTTCACCAGTAGGAGTCGTCAAAGGACAGTTTTTTTTAAAAAATCGTTTTTTTTAAATTTTTTCTAACAAACCGCAAAAAGTAGGGAGAAAAAGGGCTGAATCATAAAAAAAAATATCCAACCAATATTTAATGAATTTACAGCCATTTTTATAACTGAAAACGTAAGAAATTGATAATTACCAACTCATAATGTTATTTAGATTGATTTTTTCTATTTATTATCATTATATTTCCCTACACTTAGAAGTTTTTTAAAATTATTGATTTCTCACTTATAATGAATATGAAAACAGATAAATTCATAAAAAAACAATAAGAAAATTGTAACGTGGATTTTGCAATTTTTCAACATTTCTGTCATATAGCAAAAAAATATAAATGAAGATTATTTAATTTTTTGAAGCGAAATTTGAAATATGTTACATAACCTTCTGTATATTCCGATTAAAGTTTTGTTGTTTTTTTATGATTTTATGTGTTGTTTTCATATTCATTATGAGTGAGAAATCATAATAATTTTAAAAAAGTTCTTAGTGTAGGGAAATATAATGATAATAAATAGAAAAAATCAATCTAAATAACATTATGGGTTGGTATTTATCAATTTCTTACGTTTTCAGTTATAAAAATGGCAGTAAATTCATTAAATATTGGTTGGATAACTTTTTTTTACGAATCAGCCCTTTTTTCTCACTACTTTTGGCGATTTGCTCGAAAAAATAAAAAAAACGATTTTTTTCAAAAACTGTCCTTTGACGACTCCTACTGGTGAACCAATTCGAGTTACAAAAAAAACTCAAAAGCAATTTTAAAGAGCGTGAAATTCCCCATAAGGTGTATTAAACCGATTTGCAATATTGTCAAAGGTGGGTAAGCATTACAAATTTGAAAAAAAAAAAATATTTTTTACATGCATTTTAAACGGTAAAACTTTAAATTTAAATAGTAAGTGCTTAAAATTAATATTAAGAGCTCAAACTTGGTGAGAATGTTTTTTCCTATATGCAGATTAATATTTTGCTTGAGCACCGAAAAAAAAACAAAAACTTTGCGGAAATGAATCACCCTAATGAGGAGGCTAATATTAAACAAAGCAAACTTTAAAATTGTGTATTGGCCTTTGGGAATTTATTTTACGTTATCCTTACGTATACAGTGTGTCCACGGATCGGGTTGCCAATAGAAAAAACTTTTTTATTATGTGTTTAAAAAAAAAATCATTTTTCACTAAAGCTCCTGCTTGTTTAAAAAATGGGATTTCCATTAAAACAATCTGAATAAAATGTGCAGGGTGCTTGGAAATTAAAAAAATTTGAAAATGAGAGAAAACTCATATAGCATGACTGGTTAAATTAATTTAACTTTTTGGTTAATTTACCTTTTGATACGTTTGGTTTAATAGGGTTATCTATACAGGGTGTCCCTGAATATGTGGGCAATCTCTTGGATTTAGATAGAACACAAAAATAATATGACAAGTTCCTATAATTTTTTTTACCATTGCCCCCTCTCCGGAGGTACTGGCCCATAACGGACTGAAAAGAAGAAAAAAGATCAAAAAATTTAAAACCCTCTATTTTCAATTGACACTGACATTATTTAAATCGGTAAATGTCAAAAAAACATTGCAAAAAAGATAAAAATGATTGCAAAAAACCCTATTGTACAAAAACATTTTTTCTTTAACAATACATTTTATCGATGTCGATAAAGAGTACCTTTTTTTAGTTTAAGCTGACCAAAAATTTTATTGTCGTGCCTTTATACTACAGGGTGTTATAAAAATAGGGGACATCCATTAATTACGTGAGGCATTTTTCTGATAATTTAGACCCCTCCCTCCCCCTTGGTGAGATTTGGTGAGATGTGGTAGACCCCCCTATCCCTTACGTGAGATTCTAGCCATTAAACTCCCTTTGCGGACAACATGATAAACCCAAAAATTAAAAATTGATTACTTTTTTTTGGCAAATTTGAATTTTAATACATATTCTTTAACATGGGATTTGATGAGATTTTGCTAGACCCCTCCCCCCTTATTTTTATCTCACGTAATTAATGGATGTCCCCATAGCATTACTCTTTTAGTGCTAGTCCGTCCCTGGCAGCTCATTTTAAGGAAGCTTAACTAGTACCTAACCAACATTAAAAAAGTATTAAATTCCACCTAGTACTTCAAAAGTTATTTAAAAACAAAGTATTTTCAGGGGCCGTTATGGGCCCTTATCTCCGTAGAGGGGGCCGTAGGAAAAAAATAGGAACTTTTCATATTATTTTTATGTATTCTATTTGAATCCGGAAGATTGCCATATTCTGGGACACCCTGTATACGACTTGTTAACAGATCTTTGAAATAAAATGTCGTCTTTATATGTTATTAATTAAAGCTTTAGTAGTTACATACCTATAACAGAAAATCCAATAGGGCATTTTATTTTCTGATCAAGTAGCACATAATAATTCTATATTTTAACGCGCTTTAGAAATAATAAAAATAAATGAAAAATATATTAAAAAAGATAATTTTGTATTTTTTTCTCTATTTGTGTGAAATTGATTTAAAATACCATTAAACCTAAAGCATTATTTTGTTTTATTAATTGTGTGGTTAAATTACCTTATTATTATAATTAACAAAAAAAAATTGCGGATTAGCAATTTTTTTAAATCTAAAAAAATATCCACCTACTCTTAACCATTTTCGTTGGTTAAAATTAAAAGTAAATATAAATTTTTGTAACTTCTAAAATAACCTACTTTTTAACTGTACCCAACTTAGGTTATTATATAGTTTTAATTGACAATAAAAAAAAACAAATATTTTAAGTGGAAAAAATAACCTTTGAAATTAAATTTAAAGTGTTATGTTTTAGTACATTATTTAAAAATGTCAATAGTTGAATCAACTAAAAGTAAAAAAAAAACGTTTTTTACTTATATCTTGGTTAATTTACTTAAGTACTTTTATGTATTACTTTATACAAAAATTGTATAAGAGAAAGTCGTTGACAAAGTCTAAATAATTTTTTTTTGTTTAAATTTTATTTATTTATTTTTAAATAAAATTTAGAATTTCGTATTTAGACCAAAATTTGAATTGACCACTTTCTTATAAAAAAATTTCCCATAGAATAAATAAAGGTCTCTCTTGAAGCATTTTCATGTTTTCTTAATTTCTTAACATCCTGTACATTTGATTAAATTCCTTTTTATGGGAATCTCATTTTTTAAACAAGCAGGAGTTTTTTCTTCTTTTTTTTGTTTTTTTTTTTAAATTCACAGAAAATGTTTCGTTTTTTGCGGAACCTCAAATTTTTTTTAAATCAATTACCTTCAGTAAATCATCTTGTACTATTTAACGTTGTTTTTAAATTTCCAAAATATCCCAGAATTTAGAAATTTTTCAATATCATCAGGATACCTTCAGTAAGTAAATTTGCAGAAAAATTGACTTTTGCATTTTTCCCGTATTATCTGTAGTTAGTAGATAATATAAGAATAAAATTTATTTGATTTACTAATTTCTTTAAATTTTACTTATGGAGTTTGCTGGGTTTAATATTAGCCCCCCGACAAGTTTGTTTATACTATTTATAAAGTTTTACTTAATTTCTTACTTTAAATTTAATACTTAAGCATGTTAGTGTGGTTTTTATCTATTCTCACTTTAGAAAATAAATTTGCAAATAATTTCCTAGAAATAATTAATCTTCATACTTGTTTATACTATTTAAATGTATTTTTTTGTAATAAATTTGCAACTCTTAGCTGACCTAAGAACTGCTGAAGTTAAGGTAGGCATAAACAAGTTATTAATAAATAATTTATAAATACTTTTTAGAAAATTCAATCTAATAGTGTTTAATAAAACTGTTTTTTAATATTTATAGAGTGTGTATAAAATAGCATGTATTATGTATTAATGTAAAAATATTTGTCTTAAATGTTTTAAAACATGTATGTTACTTTTTACTAGCTCTACTTTACTGTTTATTATAAAGACTACATTATTTTACCACCAGTACACTGTAGTTAAATGTTTTAACCAATTTTTAAAACCTTAATCTAATAATTATTTTATTAATTTGGCCTTTCTTTTAGATTATTAACCATTAAAATTAACATTAACTTAAACTAATTGTGTTCTGTCTTTTTACTAATTACTAATATGCACACAGAATGTTTTTTTAATTTTTGACTTAATAAATGTTAAACTAATATCACTGGAGTATTTCTTGAAATTTGCAACTCTTCTTTCTATAGAAAATGATCTCCATAGAAAGTAATAAACCAATCAGATCACAGTACCTCGTATGATATTATTCGTTTATTGCTTACTATAGAGATTATTTTTTATGGAAAGTAAAGCCGAAAAATTTAAGAAACATTCCCCTGATGTTACAAATATTTCTTGGTCAATTTTTACCAGACTTTGT